GATCTCTTCAGAGAGAGAGAGGGCTCCTCGAGCACGGTAAATAAGCCTAGCCTTAGAGCAAGGGTTATTGACACATCGTTTTAGTGAGTGAGCTAGGTCGAGTCGTCGAGTCCGGGCTTCAAGTGCTTTACTTCTTACTATAAGAGAGATCTCAGAGGCTAGGAGGCCGGATTCCATGAGAAGAACTGAGGAGGGAGTTGTCTTATATACTGGAAGGATAATCCTTGCACACTNAGAGAGAGGGCTCCTCGAGCACGGTAAACAAGCCTAGCTTTAGAGCAAGGGTTATTGACACATCGTTTTAGTGGGTGAGCTAGGTCGAGTCGTCGAGTCCGGGCTTCAAGTGCTTTACTTCTTACTATAAGAGAGATCTCAGAGGCTAGGAGGCCGGATTCCATGAGAAGAACTGAGGAGGGAGTTGTCTTATATACTGGAAGGATAATCCTTGCACACTTAGCTACTACTCTATCTAGTAGAGTTAGATGACGGCCAATTCGGTTGTTTTTGCCTTCTATTTGCCCCTCTCTTGCTCTAGCACGTCCAGGGAACCAGGTCTCGCTTCCGAAGTAAGCAATAGACAGGATACAAGCAGTAGCAGCTTGTTTTAGTANTCTATCTAGTAGAGTTAGATGACGGCCAATTCGGTTGTTTTTGCCTTCTATTTGCCCCTCTCTTACTCTAGCACGTCCAGGGAACCAGGTCTCGCTTCCGAAGTAGGCAATAGACAGGATACAAGCAGTAGTAGCTTGTTTTAGTAGGTAAGAGGGAGATCCTCGTACAGTGTTTGTTGTTCCTTTCAGAGCACTAGCTACAAGTGTAGCCTTGCTAGCCATCCTTCTAACGTGGCTGTAGAAGGTAAGACGAGGGTCAAAAAAGATACCAAGCCAGCGGAGCTCTTGTGAAGGTTCTATTGTCTTNGCCTTGCTAGCCATCCTTCTAACGTGGCTGTAGAAGGTAAGACGAGGGTCAAAAAAGATACCAAGCCAGCGGAGCTCTTGTGAAGGTTCTATTGTCTTCCCTTCTACCACAATAGAAGGAGGGGGCCGGATACCTCTCCCTTTTTGCTTTCTCTTGCGAGAGAAGTGCATAAGTTCAGACTTATCAGCGTCAAAGGTAATGCCCTCTTCTGATCCCCAAGCTAGTGCCCTAGTAACCTGGTTACTAAGAACCTTGATATTCTCTGCCTTTGAGGGTCTAATAATAGTACTAATTAGGAATAAATAGCTACTTAACTATTAAATATAATCCTCTATAAGTATTATAGAGCTAATAATAAGACTAAGGATTTACTTAGATATATACTAGATATTAGTATTCTAAGTAGTAAGAGACCTTAGAAGAAGAAAATATTAGATTTTTAGAGAAATAGTCTACAGGAAACGTTAAATAAAGGTTCTTTAGTTATCTTCTTATATAGCGCTAGTTCTTTAAGTAGAATGGGGGATCTTAGCTAAAGTATAACTTATTATAGTAGTATACTAGTAATAGTATCTTTATCTACTTTATTTAGTAGCTATATTCCTAGTTTAGTCTATAGTTTAAGTAGTAGTAGAAGTAGTAGTACTTAACTAAATACAAATAGTAGTATAATAAGTAAAGCTCTAAGTATATCTAAGAAAGGGTTTTAAGGTTTTTAGGTAATAGTTTATCAAGGAATAGGTAGAGGGGAAGTACTATAGTTTCCGAAGTATAACCTATATCTAATAAGCTATTTAGATAAAGATATATCTATAGAAATAGATAAGTAGTTATATATTATTATAGGAGAACAACGTATATATAGGAGGTTTAATATAGTATTTAACAAGTTTAATAAAGGAGAGAGAAAGAATCTTCTCGGGCTCTACTATAAAGGAGAGGTAGCCCTCTTAGCAAGGCTTAGTAAGTACTAGTATAGCTGATACTATACCTAGGGGCTAACCCCTTATATTACTCCCCTCCCCCTGTAATTAATATATTAGGGTTTGTCTATATATAATAACCCCTAAACGCGTCTATACCTTTAGGTTAACTTTAATTTTAGGTCGACTTTACCTTTAGGTCGGCTTTACTTCTATATCATTCTAAAATATACCTTTCTAAGAAGTATTTATAAGAAACTATAGTATAAGAGCTCTTTTCGCCCTCTTTTCTTCTCTTCTTCTTCTTTCTACTACTACTACTACTACTACTACTAATAATAATAATAATAACTATAAGTTATATACTTTTTCCTTATTTTTTATAGTAGTATCTATATAGTACTAATTAGGGAAGATATCTACCTTAGTTTACTATATTAGTTATACTTAGTCTAGTATTAACTATAATAACTAATAGGTAAGTATTAGTTTCTAATACTTTTAAGCTAGAGTCTACTAACTAGCCTAGTCTAACCGAACTTACTTATATACTACTTATACTAGGAAGAAGAAGAATTATAAGAATCTATAAGTATCTCTTAGACCCTACTTAAAAAATATTAGTAACTATAATATTCTTTAGTCTATCTACGTCGCTGTCACGAATCACGTGCACACGTGACTAGTGAAGACCAGGCGGCGTCCTGACAGGTCAAGCACCATCCATAGACTTATAGCAAATGGGGATCGTTTAGGTTAGCTAAGCGATCCAAGGATTTCCTTGGACTAGGGATCACGTGACGAGCGACATGGTCGACCATGGCGACCACAGAGAACGAAGGTTCTATATAAGACTGGCACTTCTGCAATTAGATAGGAGCTTCGTGCTCAACTTAGTTATCAATCTTATCATATTAGTTTGACATCTTTGATGCAAGTAACGAGTTCACTTCCAAGTGAACAACCCGATAGTCTTCTTCTTAGCATAGCATACCAACCAGCGAACACCCAGCCAAGTTTAGTTAGCCAGTTTGAGTATTCGTTACAGTCGCCTATACTATCTAGACTCATTCTACTAATAGTATTAAATAGTAAGGAGTTATATTCTATCTAAAATATATTAGCTAACGATTCTTTTTAGTAGGGTAGCGTATACTAATCTTTATAAGGCTCTTAAGGCTTAGAAGTCTTTAATGTAACGAATACTCAAACTGGCTAACTAAACTTGGCTGGGTGTTCGCTGGTTGGTATGCTATGATAAGAAGAAGACTATCGGGTTGTTCACTTGGAAGTGAACTCGTTACTTGTATCAAAGATGTCAAACTAATATGATAAGATTGATAACTAAGTTGAGCACGAAGCTCCTATCTAATGGCAGACGTGCCAGTCTTATATAGAACCTCAGTTCTTTGTTCCAACAGTTGGATCGCTAGAGTCGCTCGTCGCTCCAGGCGACCCAACTGTCACGTGATACTAACCGAATGAAATCCCTGGATCGCTTAGCTAGCCCAAGCGTCCCTATTTGCTATAAGAGTACTGATAGTGCTTGACCTTTCAGGACGCCGCCTGGTCTTCTCTTATCACGTGAACACGTGATTCGTGACATTATAGTCTAGACTTCTCTTTAGTTAGTTTATATAATAGTTATATAAGTCTAGCTATAATTTATCGCCTTTTTAATAAACTAGTACTAGAGTCTTCTTTCTATTTATACTTTCCTCTTACTTTTAGGTAATATCTACTATATTTACTTAGTATAAGGTAGTAATCCCTTTTATTTTATCTATAAATACTTTAGCTTATTTAGAAGTAGGTAGTATTATATTTATATTAGGCTCTATCCTTAATAGGATAGGAGAAGATATATTATACCTATATATTATAAAGAATAGGCTTATTCTAAGGCCTGCCTAATAGCGTCTATTAAGCGCTAGTTAAGCTGTAGGGAGCTAACGCTTTTAGTCTAACTATTCTTAACTAATAAAGTTTTAAAGATATACTTATACTTTCTAGTTTAGCCTTTCTAGTCCTCTATTAGTTTATAGATAGTAAGTAGAGCATTTGGGATTCGTACTTGTAAGTCCATTCATTTGAAACCTCTTGCTATTTTTCCCTAGCTCCGATTCTTTCCCAGTTATTGAGAAGGGAGATTCCTCGGAGAAGGACTCTTGAACCACAATAGGAAAAGCCTTAACTAGATTGGTATTATCACAGTGACCTTCGAGCCTGCATACTACCGCACAAAAGTCTTCTCGCCAACAAACTTTAAACTTAAACCCCTACGCCCTGGTCTCGAAGCATACCAAGGAATCCACGACGGATTGGCAGAAGGCGTATGTGTCCCTCTCCCTTATCCCTTCCACTTCCCAAAGCGAAACTTCTAACATTTTTATGTCCTACAGACCAAAGCATACGACGGGAATCAACCCGGCGACCCAGAAAAGGGGATGAAACTCATCGTCGATGTGGTACGTAGAGAGGGATGCGCAGAGGGGAAAGAAGTTCCTATTTGCATGCCTCTTGGCAAGGTGGGGGTTGAGCAGTTGAGGGATAAGTGTTTGGCTACGCTGAAGATGTTGAAGGAGTGGGAGGAGGATATTGTTAAGCATGATGAGTAAATGAACAGGATTAGAGTGGTGAGTGGGATAGGGTGGAGAGGGAAGGAGGGTGGTATTCAGATACTTTGTCTGTACGCCATTAAGTTAAATCGAATCTAAGTGATGATTTTGTAACTCGATTGAATCACTCCCATCACAAAACATCTAAATCTTAAGTTCAACTAGTCTTTGTCTGTTTTACACTCAAAAATAGAACTACAAGCCAAACATCAACAGTCATCAAAAAAATCTGAATCTGAATCTTAAAACGCACTCAGGGAAGTTTCACTCACGTCGACCCTTTCCACAGGGAATATAATAAGCATCATTCCTTCCCCTATCTCCACTCTTCTTCCCCAAGCAACCACAAGATAACGCCGAAGCACAGAGCAAACCTCTATCCACTTTAGAAACAACCACAAAGATTATTTCAGCACTTCAGTTCAAAGAAACCAGCCATGCCATCTCCCTCAAAATCCTCCGATTTGAAGCCATCCAACCCCAAGCCTCAGCCATCCGAGGTTTCAAATGGCAACAAAAAGAAACCCGAAGCATCAAAAGAGGACTCAGAGGGCGATCATCCTTTTCCACGTGCTGTTATTCGCCAATTTGCTTTGAACTTCTTGCAGGATACGAAAATTGTGAGACGGAAGGAAAAGACAAAGGGCGATGAGATTCAGTTTGAGAGATCAGGGGATGGAGGGAGGGGCGAGGGAGGTGTGAATTAGTCATGAGATTTATGATTGTTGTTTGTCTCTTTTTGTATAGCTATACTCGTCACTGTTCTGGAACTTCTGTAGGTAGAGTGGGAAGTTGTGGAGGGTTAAGAGTATTAGAGAATTTGATGTCGTGGTTGTACGGTGGTAAGTATATTAAGTACTGGGCCTGTCATTAATTGGAAATTTGAAGCATGTGGAAAAATGGTTGATTGGGATAGGAAAATGAAAGTATACAAATAAACATATGATAGTGATGAAATCAAGAAGTGTTTATCAATTTGGATAACCTAAGAACTGTGTCAAGAGCATTTAATTATTTCCGAAACTAAAAAGCCATTCTCATACCCCCATTAGCACATACAACCTGCCCCGTACACCACAAAGCATCCTCCAAACACAACATCCCAACCACCCCCGCAATCTCCTTCGTATAAGCCGGTCTTCCGCCCGCTCTCTCCTCATCTCTCACCAAATCCTCATCATCAATCTCCTTACGAATCTTACTTCCAGGCGTCTTCTCGATCCAAGGTTTCAAATGCTTCTGGAATTCATCCGTAGTACCGCCCCACATATCGGTCTTCACCGGGCCAGGATTCACAGCATTAACCGTAGCCCTCTCGCTAAGTTCACGCGACCAGGTACGGGTCATGGCTTCGAGAGCTGCTTTGGTACCGCCGTAGACGGATTGCATTTTGAAGCCTTCTGAGGAGGAGACTGAGGAGATGTTGACGATTCGACCGCTACGGTCGTGGGGAAGATAGAGAAGTGCAGCTTGCATTAAAAGTAGAGGACCGAGAACGTTGATACGGTATTGCCATTCCCAGTCTTCAATTGTACATTCTTCGATTTTCAGATTTCGTGAGACTCCGGCGTTGTTGATCAAGATGTTGATTTGGAAGTTTCCAGTGGAATCGGTGAAGTGTGATTTTGCCTTCTGTATGATCTGAGTTGGGCCTGTGGGCATTCCCATGTCGGCCTGGATGACTAGACATTTTACATTGTAGTTTGATGAAAGTGTCTTTGAAAGCTCGTTGCATAGCTCGGCTGACGATGGAGATGTGTAGTTGAGAATTAGAGAGGCTCCTTTGGAAGCGAGGTTGTGAGATATTGCTTCGCCGATACCTGGAAGATTTTGTTAAAGAGTTACAAAAAGTCTTTGAGATTGGATAGAGACCAGTGTACCTCTCGAAGCTCCCGTCACAAGCGCAAGCTTACCCTCAAGGGGTCGATTTGTGTTTTGAGAAGCCATAACAGCCGAGATTGAAGCTTCTGAGAGTTTGAGGGAGGAGGAAAGTTATGGGGGGATTTTCTTTATCAAGTGAGGTTCACTTTTGCGACATTCGAGGAGACTGAGATCCAATTTCAGAAAACGAGTTAGGTAACCCCGTTTATGTATCATCCTTGTGGAGTGAACTACTTCATGACCCCGTGCAACCCCGCCATCATTGGCCCAAGTGCTGAGCAACTTTGCCGAGCCCCGCTTTGCCAGCCGCACCAATCAAAGGTAATGTGAAATTGCCGCCAACTCCTATCGCCGACAGCCTTCTTGAATTTGTAGCATCACTTGCAAACAGAAGGCTCCTGAAAGCCAACTCCCACAACCATGGATATCCGACTGCTGCGGCCCTCTGACATACCGCATGTTCAGCATGCCAACATTACCAATCTGCCAGAAAAGTAAGACCTCCATTTCGCCGTCAATCGGGTTGCGCCAGCCAGAACAGAGCTGACATTCAACCCTAGCTATTTCATGAAATACTATCTCTACCATGCCCTCTCCTGGCCTCAATTATCATACGTAGCAGTCGATGTGTCAAGGCCCAAGAAGACGCCCTATGATTACCCCCGTATTGTCGGGTATGTGCTGGCAAAGATGGAGGAGGAACCTGCGGATGGAGTGCAGCATGGACATATCACCAGTCTGAGTGTGATGCGAACACATCGACGATTAGGGATCGCGGAGAAGTTGATGAGACAATCTCGTACGTTCTGCCAAAAATAGGCTCGTACAAACGGTTGACTGACAGGTCTTAGAACGAGCTATGGTTGAAACCTACGGCGCCCAATATGTATCCCTCCATGTTCGTGTCTCAAACAACGCCGCTCTCCGTCTCTACCGTGATACCTTGGGCTTCAAGAATGAGAAGATTGAGGCGAAGTATTATGCCGATGGGGAGGATGCTCACAGCATGAAGCTAGACCTTGGCTTTATTCGAGAGCAGATCCTGGACGAGGAGGATGAAGACGAAGGAGGGCCAGTTGGAGAAATGGGGAAGAAGAACGAGGATCCGGAAGTAGAGGCCGGACCAAAGAAGAGGAAAGTCAGAGTGGGGAGAGGTTTGGGTATTGGCGATTTGGTGGAGAAGAACGAAAGTCAAAAAGCTTAGATGACCATGGGTTGTGCAACGGCATATTGGGTGTTCGTGGATATCTTGGGGATTTACTGCTGGTATGGAGTATAAAAAGGATTCTCTTTAGGCATGAGATATATCTTGTAGAGAGATTCGAAATATGCAACATTTTCAACGAGACCATGGTAATGTCGTCATTTCGGGACTTGCGATGGTAAGTTGCAAGTACAATCCAAAAACCATTGGGCATTTTTACAAGCTACATTTTCACTTCAAATCTGTGATCAGTGAATCTATACTCGAGTACAGCGGATTGAATCACACGCCATTGCGTTGCCTACCAACCACAACAAGCCAGTGCCTATAGCTTTCTTGGTATTACTCAAGACACCTGATCCAAACAAACCAAGCTATATCTATCTGACCCGCTCCTATCTGTATTCTGTTTGTGTCGTCTTCCAAATCCAGGCCATGATATGGGAATTCAGCGCGGTTGAAGTCACCCAGAATAGTTGTCATTGTTTATAGCCTTCCGGGATAGTACATGATTTCAAATTTTCCCAGCTCATAGCGATGCAGACATAGCATCCTGATGGTTTATACTCAAAGCCCCTACACTACGGGTCACTATACGTGTGGCTGGACTGCTTCCTGTTTTACTGCCTGCTCGTGGAGAGCTTTATCTAGCGGTTGATAACATATGTTTACTGGAGTTCGTTTGAAGTACAGGACTATTCACAGACATACTCTGGAGATGTATAAAAATACAACCAACTTTCTTATCAATAATGTCTTACTAGATAGTCGTTCTTACTACAAGGCTCTCTTTAGCGCGTTTGCACACTTAATTAATAGCCTTGTTTTCTGTTACTTAAACATTGCCCTATTAATACGACCGTAGTCGTATGTCGAACCTGTTCAAGATACTACTATACAAGAGAAGTTTAACGAGAAAGGTAGTATAGTACGTAAGCCAAAGCGGGTAGGTGTCGTGCTATGTAAAAGAATAGCACGTATATAATTGGCCGACGCTCTCCTAAAAGGAAGTCACTACTCGAACCTAATGTTATAGAAGCTCTCTCAGGCGGATCCTTTATACCCCCATTACCTAGAGCTTAGTAGTAGCGAGATTTCTAAGAATTTAGAGTTGAGAAGAATAATAAAAGAAATATCTATTAGTATTTATAAAAAAAATCAAAGCGGCTAGTACCTAAACATGCGAATAATTTAAAGGTTATAAAAGGCGTAGGTAAACTTTAAGTAGCTACTCGTTATAACAACAGCAATTAATTAACGGATACACCAGAGGATAAAATGCTCTCTGGTATTTAATTAAGGAACTAGAAAAGCAATCTAAGGGCTTGTTTGGATTAGACTTTTGTTAGCGCTTATTTTTGCGATTGTTCTATATAATCGCTATATAAAGTTAGTAGCTTATTTGCGATTTTTTAAGTATAAGATTCACTATCTAAAGCACGAACTACCCCTTGTCTATTCACTGTATTCTTGTTATTAATACTATAAATAGTGTAAAACGCGTTTATATAGAGCCTTATTTGAGCCGTATATAGACGACAGGTACTAAGCCTTGCACTACGAATGCACCTTGCACTACAAATATACTTTGCACTACAAATATACTTTGTATCACAGATACACCTTATTATTATTATACTTGTGTTCTCTATACACGCGATAGTAATAACTCGAATATACGAGTAGTAAGATTAGAAGTGTCGAGACGTGTTATTTATAGAGGTGTTGTACTTTGACTATAGAATTCATAGTAATTTGTATATAAATAGGCATATAACCGGGTGGAATATTACCTCGAACGAGCTTTTTTTTTTGTATAGCGATTATATCTGCGATTATTTGCGATTATATTTTAGGTAAATAATATAGCCTCGTGTTTGGATTCGCGATTATTTCAGCGATTATACGAATAATCGCTAAAATAATCTAATCCAAACAGGCCCTAAATACTCTAGAGAAAACAATTTAGGATATTGACTCCTGCTTTGAGAGCCAATTCAAGACAGCAATGGGGTTTTACGAGGGCAATGAGTGCCGGTCTGATACAGTCTAAGCAAATTGGCAAGGCGTTTACTTGGACCTTGGACCGTTCCCGATAAACTCCTGAGTATAAGATCAGGATACATACAGTCACGACTAATCTGGAATTAGTCATTCCTCGGGTATTTCCCCACCTCAAAACATCCATCCACCTTAATCAGCAATTTGGTGATCACCACGAGGATCGAACTCGTGACCTTGGCGATATCAGTATGCTGCTCTCAATTACTCAATTGGTGTTAGCGGGTGGACATTACTTATCGCAAGCGGATCCTTTGTGAGATCATTTTGAGAATGACGGTACGTTCTGCTGTCAAAACATCGTTTTTTGTCGAGAATTAAGGTTAGTAAGGTCCTTGCGAAGGGGGTTCTCAATGAGTCTGTTCTTTTCTAACGTTAAGCGTCTGTGGGATGTTTCCTCCATTGATCTCGAAGTAGTAATATCAATTTCACTACCGTGACAGCCCTTGAAAATTTCTTTTCTAGTTGTCCGTCTTTTCACGGTTGTTTGTATTCTTTTAAGAGCCCGTATTTAATTTAGCAAACACATGTAAAGGAGAATAGGAAGATGGTCTTTCCCAAATTCTGGACTGAGTATTTCTTGGGGCGTGATTACAAGAATTACTTTCTTGTGCTAAATTATTAAAAAAAGATCTTTAAGCTACAATACTGTTGGGACGCCCTCTCCACTCGCTATCCTCTGGAAGGGGTTCCCAAACCTGGGCAAGAATCTCTTCTCGATCTCTTCTCGATCCGGTATTTACTGTTTAATACAATATAGCGTTCACGAATAAGACTAAACGAAGAGATTGGAGGCCAGGGGTCGATTAATTTTCTATTCTCATTCGGAGCTAATCGTTCAAAGAAACTTATTAGTATTACGCGGTTGTTAATATATTGGGGCACACTACGAAATGCCGTTATCTTTGGCTGGGAAGTAGGTGCTTAACAATGTTCTTGCTGTATGATCTATGAACATGAGTGCGCTCCTTGGATAAAAGCGCATAACTGCTAGCTATACTTTGTATATGGGGAGAACCAAGCAAGGAAATCGTGTCTATGTAGGATCTCGGCTCCTCCATGCTCCCAGTCCCATCATATCCTCTTTTCTCTTTGAAAGTTGGTAGGTCTATTTCTAGGTATCTACCAATCTCTATTCCGAAGTCCAAATGGAGATGATTTTGGAGTTTACTTACGGAGTAGATAGAGAAACTTGGTAATGAAACGGGTCTTTTGGCGAAGTGATATGATGTGTCTTTTGTGCTGCTCCCAGAGTGAACAATTGTACTCCTTAGCCTCTACCCTGGATCTAGAACCTTATATTCTAGAGGTGAGACTTCGTAAGGACTTATATCAGCATTTTGTAGGATTTGATTTCCGCACTGTTTATGATATGGCTGGTTATGGTAACCTTGCAAGTACGATATTCGGGTTGGGAACTTAAAGAGCCCGTCCTTGCTGGGTTGACCCACACCACCTCACAAATTTGGTCTATTGAAGCTGAGAAAACCAAAATCAAGTTCAAGATAAAATGTCAAGGAACAGTTCATTATAATTTTTAGTATAACCTTACAACCAATAAATCGGCACGTGGTCGGCTCTAAAAGGAGTCGGGTTCGTCTAAAAGGGGGGAAGAGCCAAGTAATTTTACCCGAGGCGTTGCTGCTTTTACAGTCGGGAGGTTGAACTTTTCTCCGATCAGATGACTCAATATAAGTGGAGAATTTGGAAATGCTTAAGTCTCATTGGTCAAGTTGTTCCTAGGTGAGGTCAGTCTGATTTCTGGTATTACTCCGATTTTTTACTATACTCATATAGGTAGGAGGCTTAATGAGAGGTTAAACGGATCGCTAACGGCGGTAGAAAGCGTGCTTTTCCATTGCCAGCGGATCGGAGAAAAGTCTGCAAATTTTCAATTTCGGAGAGATTTTTGATGCTGGGATATGATACTCATTTAGGACAATATGATATGATTATCCACGACCAGCTTGAGTGAATGCGTACCTACTTCTTCTGTCTTGCCTCCGGAAATTGATACCTACTACTGAAAAATTTCTATGTATATATACAACCTTGGAAGTAGTATCAGAAAGCCGGACTTAGTGCCTGTTCTCCCCCAGGTGTAATCATTGGCGTCAAGGACCTACGTGTCATAGGGGGTTAATGAGCCCATTAGACACCAATGGCTCTCCAGCCATACAGCAGGTGGGTTTTTGAGTGATTCAATCATTCACTGGACTGGCTTGGCTGGTGGTTAATTGGCCCCTCAAGTGGTCGGGAGGGCCTCAGCTCTTGAAGTCGCGACTTTCAACATCAACCGCTCCTTCTATTCATTGCGACTTTCTGTCTCTCGCGCCTTTCGCACCTGCACGTTGCAAGCCAACCTACACTCTTCCCAGCTAGGACCAACACCAACACCAAACTTTCCACAGTCACTTTTTCTTGCAATACCCCTCAATGCAATGTGAGTTGCGAGTTGGCTGCAGACTCGATCACCAAAATGGACGCATCTGCGTCTGTTCTCCACCCGCCTCCGCCGTCTGCAGCTGCACCCGCAAATGCAAAGATGGGGAGCCTCCTACACGTGATGAAAAATGCTCTGCCCATGAACTTGGCTCCCGACGACTTGACTTTCGCGACTCCCATGAGCGCAACTGAAATCCTCACGTCTTCACTGTACCCCCGGAGTCCAGGTCTCGCCATCGGTGGAGGAGCTGTCGATTACACGGCAGCGATGACTTCACCGACTTCCCCCAGCTCCATGGTCGCGACGGCTCCAACAGCTATTATGACCTCGGACAACGACAACCCGCAATGGGCGCAATCCCCCCCGCTGCCGCTGGCACAATCGAGTACGAACGACCATGTTAAAAAGGGGGACAGCACAGCCCACGAGGGCGAGACGACACACCACAAGACGGTGGCTGGCCCAGGCATCGAGGACGCTGAGAAGGAAGCTGGGAGTGGAGGTGGAAGCAAAGATCAGGGTGAATCCAAAGATGCAGGCGGGGCTATTCCCGGACAAGAAGATCATGTTGATCAGGCCGAGCCAGCGCAGGAACAGAATGGCGAACACGATGTTACCGCGAACCAGCAAGAGCAGCCCGCCTCCGATTTCAATACAGTTGTCGACGCGGCACTTCGTCAGAACTTCGAGAATCGGTCGCAAGTCGAGGCTGCGATACCAGACTTCGTTGGTCAGAGTGGATCAGAGGACTTCAATAACTACCTTGCTGGTATGGCGATGAATCCATTTTACAATTCCGCGCAACAATTGCTGGCGCTGCAACAGATGGGCCACATGGCTATGGAATCCAATTCGTCAAACATGTACCTTGACCCTTCGCCGCACATCCATGAAGTAGAGGAGAAAAGCCAGAGCACACGCATATCGGCATACGCAAAGCTAGAGTTTGCAGATGGAGAATTTTATATGAACACATATTCCATCATCCTCGGGCGTGATGTGAGAGCTGCAAAGGATGCAATGCGCCGGGAACGAGAAGAACAGCGAAGAAGATTAGCTGGGGAAGCACAAGCCCGGGAACCTCATGCACCTAGGACCCCTCGAATAAAACAGGAAGGCAGTCGATACACGAAGTCTATTGTGAGTGAAAGCGGCGGTATTCTTCGCGACGGCAATGATTCCGATGACGACAGTGGGCATGAGGGACGCAAGAGTCGCAAGGGGGGCAAATCGAGAAAAAGATCCAAGTCCACCGGTTCCTCTCGAGTTGCATCGCGCAGAAATTCTATGGCTCTTCCTAGTGTGATCAATACGTATGAAGCTCAACAGGATCAGCAAGCTCAGCAAGCGCCAGCCAGACGTGCTGTAACGGACAATGCAAAACCCGTTGATCCCGAATCACTCCGCCCTTCTCCACATGACTGTCCACTGGTGGCCATTCATCCTGCATCCAAGAAAGGCGAGATTGTACCTTTCAGCGCCTACAAATCTATATCTCGACACCATGTCAAGATTGCCTTTAATTCCAAAAAACACTATTTTGAAGCGACTATACTTGGGCGTAATGGAGCATTTATAGACGATAAGTTTTGTCACTATAAGGCTGTGAAGGCTCTCAAAAGTGGAGCCACTTTGCAAATTGGAGGTGTCGTTGTGGCCTTCATCCTACCAGATATACCAGTTGGCCAAACTGGAGGGGAACAGCGGCCTGAGTACGATGACAACCCAGTTACTGATCGATATTCCGAAGGTGGCAAAGAAATGAGTTTTGACTTTGATGACGATGGGCCTCGAGCTGGAGCTGAAAACGGTTCGAGCGAAGAGCTATCTGGCGAGGTAGTGAGTGATGAAGGTGATGGGCCAGAAAGCCAGGAGAACACGCTCAATCATGCGCAGGAAGTAGAGGATAATGAAGAGGAAGATCGAAGCGATCAATCTGGAATCATGGGGGATGATAGAGCGGGCACTGCTGGCCAGAATCAACCGACCCAACATGACCCAACTGCCCAGCCCATGAAGAAACGGGGTCCTGGTAGGCCACCGAAGAATGGTATCATGTCCAAGCGCGAACAGCAATTGGCCAAGAAAGAAGCGCAGGCAAGAGAAAGAGAATTGAAAGAGGGCGAGGCAGCAGCGAAACCACCTCTTCCCCCACCTGCAGTTCCGGGCAAAAATAAAGTTGGACGACCACGAAAGCATCCCAGACCAGACACACCTCCAGAACCACGCGAGAAGAGAAAGTATACTAAGAGAAAACCTAAAGAACCCAAAGAAGGGGATGCTAAACCAGATGGCTCAGGCGGAGATGATCAACCCGCCAAGGAGAAAAAAGAGAAGAAACCCCCAAAGCCTGTTCGTTCCCCTTCACCGGTCTTGCGAGAAGAGGATTTCACGCCAGAGCAGCTCCTCAAACCTACCGCAAATTATGTCACTCTCATTCACGAAGCGCTTTCTAATTCAGAAACTGGTCAAATGTCACTACCTCAAATATATCGTGCCATCGGGCGTAAATATCCATACTTCATTTTGAAGGTCAGTACAACTGGTTGGCAGAGTAGTGTGCGACACAATTTGTCCCAGCACCCTGCCTTTGAGAAAACTGAACGAGATGGCAAAGGTTGGATGTGGGCTATCGTCGAAGGCGCGTCTATTGAGAAAGAGAAGAAGAAGCGAGCCTCACCACCTCCACAAAATCCGGGCATTCTACCCCAACAACCGCCATTCTATCAGCCTCATATCATACCATATGGTATGATGGCTCCGCCTCCCGGCTTTGCACCACATCAGATGCCACCCAATTACCAGGGCCATCCAGGTCCACATCCTCAACACCCGGGGTATATGGGACCTCCTCATGGACACCCGATGAATGGACACCCTGTTCCCGCCGGCATGCATCCACAGATGAACCCGCTCAATTCTCAGCCTCCTCCGTTCATACAAGCACCATTGTTGCCACCGAATGGAAGCGAGTATAATTCACCCTATGCAAATAAGGCGCCAGCAACTACTGCTCAACCACCAAGTCATAATCAGACTTCCCATACAAATCCACAGTCCAATCCACAATTGAACCCACCACCTAACCCACCATCGAATCCACAACCAGTTCAACAGCCGACTCAGCAACCCGATCCACAAACTAGCGCACAGACAACCCACCAGTTGAATCGCCAACCACCAAATCAACAAGTGGATCAGCAGCGACATCCTATTACCCACCAAGCTCCTGCTCATACACAGCTTCATACCACTCCTCTGGTACCTACGACCACATTTCAGCATTCTGTGCCCACGAGCACTCCAGCCCGTCAGCACTCACCAACCCCGGAAGACTTTAGAAATGCTGTTGAGGGTTCTCCTCAACTCAAGGCAGCTGTTGAGAGGTTCAAAACATCGCTTCTAGGTTCGCTTAGGGATACGTCCCCTAAGGACACTCCAATCGGTGCTTCAGAAGCCATCGTGAACTCGGCGGTCAACAGAGTGCTAGGCTACTCAGATAAGACATCTAATCCAGGGGAAGGAAGGGAGGATTTGATCATGAAAGCTTTCAAACGTATGTTGGTCGATAATTTACCAAAGGTGACCGACGCAACAAAGGTCACAGGGCCCAGCCGTGACCAAAACAATCGGTATGCGTCGCCTCAGCCTCTGGCGAATCAGAGAGGAACACAATCCAATACAACCCAGCATCCTCCCAAAACGACTGGTCGTCCAGCTATCATGCGACCGTCTTTCAGTAATGGTATCAACCGCCCAGGACCCCCAATTCCTAGGCCACCTATGAGACCTGTTGGAACGATGAGAACAAGTTCGGGCAGTCCCGCAGCAAGTGCAATTTCTGCAGTTGGAAGAACAGGGCCATCATCTGCTTCACCCGCACCATCTACACCACAGATTTCAACAACAAATGGAGCCAACACACAACCACCGGAACAAATGCACCACTCTGTACAGAGGCCCCTTCCTGTGCATGAAACAACTGCATCCCTTCCAGATGGTCCCCAGACAAATGAAGCACAAGCTGGACAGATTATCGGGCAGAAGAGGAAGCAACCAGATACAGTGAACATGGACGATATGCCAGAACTTAAGAAGCTTTCGACATCAGGGCCGCCAAGTATTAGCCCGCCAACCGTTAGCCCGATCTCTACAACTGAAGTACAAGTTTCACAGGTTCCTGAAATACAGCTAGAGCAACCTGCGAAGACTGAGAACACTGATGACGTATTCAAAAAGCTTTCAACCTCAGGTCCGCCTCAATTAGCAACATGAGTATATTTTGGAACTTCATCCATCAAATGGGGTGCGCAAAATGGTCAGAAGCAGGCGTAGGTATGTGAGGCGTTATATTAATGGTTGAAAGTAGTTTGAAAGGTCGATGTACACTTTACACCCTGCTTGGCGTTATTTGGAATCTGAGGGACTGTGTGTGGATCGAACCACAAGTGTTTACATTACTGGAAGGTTTATTTCTTAGGTAGTCTAGGTATCATGTACAAACATGATGACATTGAAGCAACATCATCAATATATAAGGCTTTCTTCCCAGAATGTTCCTGGTCCTATCATTTTCATTGTGGTGTAATCACGATGCCCACCCAAGTCTTCACCGATGTTGCATTCGAAATGTATATTGCCTGACAATGCTCCCCCCTCCCCCCTTTATTGTTGGATAAATTGGTATTGGTATGCATCTTCATTCTTTCTTCTTAGAGTGAAATCATCTCTTTTCCTTCGCTCGGGTGTTTTCTTATCTAGGCGTTGGATGCTTTGCCTCGTCTATGTGGGGGGTGTTTTTTTTGGTACAGTACCTATGAAGACGTTGTGGGTTTGGAGGACCTATTGGGAGATGCATTAGACGAGTGTGCATGCATGCATTGAGGTCAAGATAAAGTACTCTATTTGATAACCTTATGTGGAATGAATATCGTTCGATAGATACAGTATGCATCTCAGGGTGTTTTTCTTGATCTTGGGATAGGGCGGGTTTCATGGTTTTTGTGGTTTTTGTGGATGTGGGTTCTTCCACGAATACTGTACGCTGCCTTGAAGATGTTGTTTTTGGGGATTTTGGAAGAGTATGTGATGTTGTTTGATTTATGAGGATCCAATTCGTCTGAGATTTTGGGATTAGGATACTTTTCATGGGTTTTTTGTGTGTTGCATGGGTACAGTACATCGTGGGATGTTTGTCTGGTTTGAGAAGCAGGTTTTTGGTTCTCTTTTACTTGAGACTTGGGGCGATGTGGGGGGTTGATGGGGGTCTGTGGTGTTTTGGGTGCTGGGATGTTTTGTTTTTCTGATGGGGGATTGTATATTGTAGTACTTTGTGCTGTGTTTGGTGGTTTGGATGGGATTTAATTCTAGCGGTTGTGTTACAGTATTTCTATGACTTTTGGGAAATTCTAGAGTGAGGATGTGGTTGAGATTGACAGGTGTTGAATTACTTTAGGTGATGATGAAAGTTGAATGAGTTGAGCATGTGAGTATAGGAACTTGCTGAAGGAAACAAACGTGAAGATATTGGCCTCGAACAAGCAAACAAAACGGGATTGAACAAACGAAATGACGCTAAATCACCAAAACCCGCCATGCTATGCAATCGAACACACAAGCACTTCCTCCTGGATATTCCTCCCGTCCTTTCAATTTCGAACCAGGAAAACCAATTTCCAACGACGCTGTTCAGCCTTTTCATCTCCTGCTGCACTCCCCTTCATGAGTAAATGGTCGATGTCTTGAATGGCCTTCCCCTCTGTCTCTTGAGTGTCGCCTATGGTGGTGGTGGTGATGAGATCGAGAACTTCCACTCCCTCTCCCGCTACCACTGCTGCTACTGCCACCGCCTCTATCACTTCCTCCGCGCGAAACGACAACAGGCTGGTGGTAGGGCCGTTTGAGTTGCCAGTCCGAGTCTTTCTTCACGCGGGCGGCGGCTTGCTTTTCCCATACTTCCTCGGATTTGCGGCAGATGTCGTCGATTTGTTCCTTGACGGAACGTTAGTATGTTTTCTTGAGAAATATTTGGAAGGTAAATGGGGCAAGTACATCTGTGAGGCATTCTCCTGGTGTAGAAATTAGGAAGCCGTCTTCGCCCTGGATTGTTGTGAGTAAGAGAATGAGTCGAAGAATCAAGTTAGGTGGGAGGGAGCATATACATCTCGAGTATAAGGACGAACGGTAGATTCGGGACCAAGATAATATTGTATCTCCTGAGTGATGACTTTCTTGTTGATATCGCGGTTTGGTATCCAGTACTGGTTTTTATCTGAAGACATTGTTGTTTGTACTTGTGTGCCTTCCTTCCATATCAAGAGGCTCTGGATATAAGAAGGGTATAACGTATGTTATGAATTTGAGGGATCAATTCCTACAAAGACATGAAGACGAGTAAAGAAAAGTAAGGAGGAATGCAGAGGAATGAAATAAGATTCGAGGTATCGCCCGCTTTTGGTGATGAGGTGGCGTGTTGTTCTCAGCTTGGTAGAGACATCCCCGTAATGAAGTCATGAAATTTATCAGAAGGCTTTATAGAAAATGGCAGAAGGCGGTCTGATGTGCTTCCATGAAGATGATCCTCCAGTGGCGATGTCACTATCGTGTATTTCGGCAGGCGTGCTTATTTTCCTCCCTCTGGCTTCTCTTCATGAGCTCCCCTGTTATTAAAAATGGAGACTTCGATATTTGCCTAGCTGGATAATTTCTTTCCGATTCTATCGAAACAGCTAGAGGTATGGAAGCGATGACGGCTGCTTCATCCGTTGTAGTTTTCTTCATGTTGCTGTAGCTTACTGCGTTGCGCCCCTGTATTCTTAATCCTAGTCTACTTAAATAGTACTACGCTTCCATGCATTCTCGCTTGCATTTTCGAATGATAGTACTTTGTTGATATATCGGTGTTGGGATGGTTGGTCAAAAAGCGCGCATATTCGCCTTAGTGAGGCTGCGCTTTCGATTGGCCCACAACCACCTTGTGGCCTCGCATTCATCAGAGTCCTGTTTTTCTGGAGGCCAGATGGAGGGAGAGGGGAAATTTCTTCTTGTTACTTGCTTTCTGTGTATCTCCGGATACTTGCGAGGAACGGAAATTGCAATGTTAATTTATTTATTTTCGGTTTGTGAGGATTGAAGTCTCAGTACATACGAGAGAAGCGAGGTTACACGACTTCCTTTGATTGGACAACCCCAATGGCTGGGGAATTTGTGGCACACTGGGAGGAGGCGAAGGGCAGTAGGACCTATATAATCGGGCGAAAATTGAATTTGGGGGCTTGAAAATGAGATTATATTATATACTTACGACGATTTATTCAAGACCTAGTTCTATTTTTAAAATCAAATTCTTCTTACCACCTCATAACTACTGGCTACCAGTTCTCTAGATTTAGCAAGTTTTGACGATACCGCATAGTGGATAGGTCCCTCGCCTCGTGGAAAATATATTCGCTAGTCGCTTCCCCAGCTTTTGTAGATCCCACCTCAAAACAAAGAAGAACAAGGGTACTCCAAGCTCCTGCAGCCCTAAAACTCTAAAAGAAAAGGAAGCTCTGAGACTATTTTTCTTGGTATAAGAACATCATTACCCCTTTAACACCGCTTCGTGGAAGATCCAAGGAATCCTCATATATCAAGCTTGACATAAGAAGGTCCGGCATTCATTGTGTAGTTGAAGTTGGGCACTTCACGATATCGCTGGCGCCCATTCGCAATCCTTGAAGTGAAATACAGACGGAGAGTGGTCGCTAAGGAGGAAAGGCCTCACTGCTGCCGTCAAGGACTTGTTATCTACGCCTAGCGAGAACAAAAAGCCTCAAGTCCAACCCGCCCAGCGCGTGGGATCTCTTCAATTTCAGAACCGAATCGTAACTCATGTTACAAGCTGCCATATCCGTTTCCAGGACACCCCCATCAGCTGATCTTTGCTTTTTCTGGCGGTCATCGGAGCCACCTTGTCAATCCAGGTACACCAGACTTTACTTTCGGAACGCCCTGCTCACGTAAAACAATTGACCATCATCCCACGAACTCTCTGGAAACCTCAGGTAAGAGATGGGTGGTGGGCGTGGGTGGAGATAGAACGGAGAATCGGAGGGTTGTATTACCAAAACCGAGATTTCTAGCTTTGACTCTTAACAGCAAACAGTATCAAAAGGTCCTCTCTTCTGTTAGATGGCACGGAAAGAAAGTCGGGTGATTCCAATTTCCGATACAAGATGGATTCATGACGGAACACCGGTCGTTGGGGATCAAGCCATTGCTTCGGTAGAATTTAATCGCCGGGGATTACTTTTTGGCACCAAAAAAGACACTGAGCCGCGCTTCCATTGAAGAGCTTTCACCTGAGCAGGGCGTCGTTTTTTTACCATCAATTTCCTGTGCCACCTCAAAGTTCCTCCGCAAAGAACTCGAATCTGGCGCTGCCGGAGCAGAGTTCCACCGATACGGACATAACGATGCTGTTGGATTCGGAGACCGAGATGTAGAGCTTCAATGCTTTACGCAAGATGAGGCGCAGACATGCAAATTATGTACCAACATCCAATATTGGCATCGAGAAAGTCGTTTTCTGTCGGTTTCGGGGGGGGGACGAGTCTGCACGTCAGACGGAAACAGCCGCTGATATGTGATAACGGGCTGTTATGGGAGAATTCAGCTTTGGAATTCCAGGAATCCTTGATGAAAATGCGTATGCCAAGGTTATTCTGGGGCTCTGAGCAGAATCGTTGGAATTTGGCCAAATTTCGACCTCCTCATACACTACTGAGCATACAGGCAGCATAGGACACCCACAGAACACTCACGGTGACCGTCTTCGCGGTATATAATGTTGTCAAGCTCTTTCTGTTAGTCAGGAAACGCCTATTTTAACTTGAGACTCTAGATTCTCTCGAAGTCGGCTGTGTTCTGTAGGACTTGTGAAGACTTCACTTCCTTGATTCTTTAGAGAGTTATTTGGCTTGCAAAAGTCTTTTAAAGATATTGCTCTCAGATTCAAACAACTTTGCAAGTCTAAGTTTACCCGCGTAGCCGGGTATTTTCCTGGCTGCATTCTTAATTTGTTTTATTGATACCAAACGTACTCAAAGCCTCAATTCTACCTGCTTGCTTTTAAGTAAACCAGCTGCCAGAGTCGCCACTACTTGTTGAAGAATATATGTGTTCTAGTACGAATATCATTAGCCTCTAGCACTAAAGTTATTTATATACCCTAAAATCCCACAAGAAGTTATACTGTGGAGTCCTATCAGGCGAAAGGAGTTCCCAAAGATGAACAGCGTGGCATGTTTTCTTCTTAAAAGAATGACATCTCCAGACTACTGTAGTCTATATTTCAGATCCACGTAGTCCAGAGAGGTTTAGTTGCTTTTGTGAACTCCATTAGGCTTCCTTTCTCTCTAGGATAGTTATCACTTTTCTTTCAGAAGTTCTCGTATTCAGCGACTGCTCAAGAGAGAAATCTTAACAATGTAAAATATAAACCTAAACGTCACCCCAAAGTGCTTACATGTTTGAAGAGCTAGAAGTTCTCAATAGTCCAGAAAACGAAAACACTCTAACCTATAATAGAAAATAGGCTAGAGAATCCCCCCAAGGTGCAGAGTCAGCTCAAAGAAAGTTTTGCCAGAGGAAGTAGTCTCCTGTTATTTCTTGTCTTTACCATATTTGAAGTTTAGCCAACTAAACCAGGCGAGTAGCATCAAGGTTTATCTTAGTAGGTGTCTTATTTGGCACTCTGATTCAGTTGTGTATACTTATGGGGCTGATAGTGGGTAAGCCGAAAGGGTTGGTTGTTAGAGAAGTTTCAGATTTATATACTATGAGTCGTTTGTCTAGTTCCTAGATTTGGAAGGCTTGCTTGGATCTGTGAGATAGTTGGGCAGAACTCTGGACACATCTTTGAACCCCTATGATACTAGCACTCCTAGAGCAATCAACTTAATTGTCCAAATTACTTAGGCTAATAAAGATACATTGATTCCAATTCTTCTAAATTGCTCGCAGAACCATTTCAATTGTACGAGACCTCTAGAATAATATCTTTTCTAACCTAGGTGTGTCTAGAGTTCACCTAACGATACTGTCTTAGCTGCAGTACTCACTAAGTGAGTTTACACCAGGAATGCATAAACAAACTAGGCATCAGTGGCGGCGATCATCGTCGTCTTCATCTATGCCTATTCTGAAATGCTAGGGGGTTCTTGTCCTATAATCATTACAGTCGTTGGTAATCTTGGTCAGGCGGGTTTGAGGTCTTTAACTGTGAAAACATCTCTCGTGAAAAGTTCTATGTGGAAAGAGTTTGGCTGACTTTGATTCGCGTTTCACAATGTAGTAAGATGAAAGGTGTAGCACGCCAAGAATAAAGAAGAATGGTTCAAGACTATCTTCATGATACATCAAGTGGCAAGTCTGTGCTTCCAAACTAAGACTCTCTAATACTCATTGGAGTTTAAACACCAATAGAGGAGATTCAGGCATGTACGACGGGCAATTGGAGGCACAAGCTGGAGGAGAGATCTGATCACTGCTCAGTCTGCTCTCCAGATATGTGTTCCGTCTCCTAACATTAATATCCCAGATAACATCAGTCAATCGTAGCCAGCAATCGAGAATATTTGGAATAATGAAGAGGCTAAATACCGGGCTCTCCTAGGCTTTTTGGACTAATAGTTTTTGACCGCCTTTGACTGCTTTATATAGTCAATACACAATGTGCTTGCAGAGCAATCAACGATTATCTTACCTGCGACCTCTCACAGAATCTACTTGCTTCACCAAGGTAATCTCAGCATATTGTATGCTTTCATTCCTGACATTCAAATTCGTAATCCCACCTTGAAGTGAAACAGAACCACCGTTGCAGTCTGAATGGTTCTGGCCGACCTGCATCCTCATGGGAATATTCAGCGGTCTCAAGTTTGGTTCATCTGATGGCCGTTGGTAGACTCCTTCGTAGGTCTGTTCTTGTCTGAAGCATTTCTGTCCTTCTTTTCCAGGTCGAGAATCTTTTCATAGCCATGGAGGTCAAAGGTGCCTGCAGACCACAAGACTAACGCTTGGACTCGTATCTCAGAATTATCTCTGGCGATCCTATCTAGCTCTGGACCTTTTCTTGGGTTTGCAGTTATGTAGCCAATTACATTTACCCATTCTCCAACCTGAGTTTCATGCGCCTTCATCGTAGTGAGTAGAAGTTCAACATCCACTTGAACTTTAAGTGGCTTCTGAAGTTGTCCAGGTTTCCTTGGTGGACAATTATGTTCAAGTGTTAAAGTTGCAGAATTTGTGGTGTAGGCTTTAACACTAGGAAAATAAGCTCCGTCTAAAATTTGAAGAGAATGATGGGGATAGAGAATAATACCAACTGCTTTCCCTACTAGTTTCTAACTATAATGAACCGGACACTTGATGGCCAGCACTAGACACACTTGTGAAAAGACAGTCTTACTTTCACGAAATCATAGTTGGAATATTATCCAATGAGATCACTGGCGGAAAAACAAAGTGTAATTCACTCACCATCCGAGAAACCGTACCTTTGTTCCAGCAGAGAATTCTGGAAGGTCTGATAGCAAGGTTTTGATAGCTGGCAAAGGTGCATTGTCAATACCTGGCATCCTCCCACAAGAATAGCGTAATAGTTGAGGTGGTTGATGCTTGATGCTTGATGTGTGTGTGTGTGTGTGTGTGAGTTTGCCTGTGGTTGTAGTTGTTGTGAACAAGTGGATGCGGCTCAAAAATAGGTAGGCTTGGTAGGTATTATGAATGATAGGTATACCCACTAGAAAGGGGCGGGCGGTCTTAAGAATATCACGTGTTAGTCCAGGACCTTGCGCTAAGCCCAAATTAGCGGCATTTGCGGGCCCGCGTCATCGTGAAGAAGGCACGACAATCTGGTCGGTCACCTACCACCTAAGGCAACAAAGTATCCCAACAAACGACCTCAAAACCAGTCGAGAATTTGCCGTTGTCTTGGTCGTACTTCCTTAAATTTGTCTCATACACAGTCGCCAAACTTACTTCCGACAAACCCTCTTCCCACCTTTGATCTCGACCCAAACCAAACTCGCTGCCCCACTATCTAGAGCCGACCGATAACATCCCCCAACCAAGAGACCTTGTCTAGACCTACCTAGGACAGCAATACATACCAGATTTGCGGAACAACCATTCGGTTATATCGAGTCTTTCGGGACTGCTTATACATAATACAAAATGTCTGGAGTCTGGGGCTGGTTTGGGGGGCAGAGTGCTCAGAAGAAGAAAGACTCTCCAAAGAATGCAATTTTAGGCTTGAGATCACAACTGGAGATGTTGCAGAAGAGAGAGCGACATCTACAAAATCAAATGGAAGAGCAGGATGCCATAGCCAGGAAGAATATTGCCACTAATAAGACTGGTACGAATCTCCTTTCCCTGGGGGTCCTCCCTTTATTCCTTGTCACAGCCTTATACCTATTATATCTTTCACCTCTCACCTCTCACCTCTCTGATGTATGACTTACAAATATTTCCAAAAAGCTGCCAAGGCTGCATTGCGACGTAAGAAGCAGCACGAACATACCCTCGAGCAAACCTCCTCCCAAATTGCGACATTAGAGCAACAAGTCTTCTCTATTGAAGCAGCAAACATTAATAGAGAAACCCTGGTAGCGATGGAGAAGGCTGGAAAGGCTATGGCAGATATCCACAGTGGTCTTAATATTGATAAGGTGGATGAGACTATGTATGTTGAATATTTGTGGTTCACTATTCCGAGGCCAGACACTGACAAATTTGATTATAGGGAGAAGCTCCGTGAACAACATGCACTTGGAGAAGAGATCTCTAATGCTATCACAAGTGCACCAATGGGTGAGACATATGACGAAGGCGAGTTGGAAGATGAGCTGGCAGAACTCGAGCAAGAAGCTCTTGATAACAAGATGTTGGATTCCGGAAACGTTCCCGTATCGGACCAGGTCCACAGATTACCAGCTGCAGTTAATCCCGAGAGTAAGTACACCTTGTCCGTTTTGTCTCTTATTCCGTTGCTAATAAGATCCGCAGTCAAATCCAAGGCGCCAATGCAATCGGCAGAGATAGACGACGAGGAAGAGGAGCTACGAAAGCTGCAGGCGGAGATGGCCATGTGATGATGTGATAAAGGGCTACCTCTCGCTCCTGCGTTACACGAGCCGTCTTATCATTTTTCGAGATTTGCTTTGCTGGGACTTGCATAGTCATTTGGGGGTAATTTGCTGGTGATTGGGAAGTTTGGATGGATTCATATCAGACGCTTAAGATTCCTGATCCACATTTTGCGTGGCGTTTAGGATTCGGTCTCCTCTGTACACACTTTTACAATCAATACCAAGTCGTTCTTCACCGATGCATTATCTCATTGTGGTGACTTTAGCCTCTCGCCTTTTGACTCAGGTTCCAAATCAACCTTGTGACAATTGTCTGTATCACGTGTGGCCTGTTCCACACCGCCAATCACGACACTGCGGTAAGTTTCCTTTGCATCGTGCTCCATTTCCGGGTCCAGTTGCAAAAAGTTGAAACGATAACATAGCCAATCCAATGAACAAATTCGGCTCCGGAGAAACGAGAAGCCAGGTCCACCTGAACATTTCACACCGATACACAAATGTGGATCCTGAAGTTTTGATAAGAGTCAATTTTGATTTTGCACTTATCGATATGCCACCGAGTTATTCGATAGAAGTCATAGGTAAGGAGATGAGGTGATCGGTCAAGAATTCAGTCCGTATAGCCAAGTCACGAGCTTCGCTAAATGCAAAAGGAAGCCCCTGAGTGGTCAGGGCTACCAAGGGTGTGAGCCAGCAAACGGGCACACTTCCAAAAATTATGTGAGCCCGACCACGCACGACATCCAGTAATCAGTATCACCACATCAATCAATATCAACACGTTCAAATTCCACGGTTCATCATTTACCGAAATGTAGACTTGCCGGAAGAAACCATTGTGAGTGAGCTCCATCCCAATTACGATCACGGCCCACGATACAACCCCTCTACTGTTGATGATTGGGCCAAATATGCATTGGTTTTCGACGGACGAGGCGGATGAGGCCAGAGGCGAACACGTTGCACACTGCACGCCATGCAGAAAGGAAGGCCGCGGGCAGGCGGGACGGCTTCGATCTCCCCCTTTTCCCCAGGAACCAGTAGGAAGAAGAGACGAGATATCCAACCATTGAACTTGCTTCAGACCGAATGCAGTGACATTTGAGTGCAGCCCAGTGTGCCAGTGTCACATGCTCCCCACCACTGAAGTCGGGATGTGTAGATGGTCCTTTAGGGTCCTTGGAATTTTGGCGGAGTCGAAGGAGCAAAGCAGGTTCGTGGCGACGGAGAAGAGGATACAAAAGCTTATTTATACGCACACCTGGGGTCAAGAATTCGAAGGAATTTGGCAAAAGAAAAAAGGAGGCATCCACCGATATTTTCCGCACACCAACCCCCCCTTGGCTTCACACGTCTAAGCCTAAAAACATCTGGGCTGCAAGACAGCCTTGACAGACATGGACTGCCCAGCAAATTCGCCTTATGGTGCCTCTTCTGAACCCCCACTGTTTTCTTCTGTCCTACTCCATCTAAGCCATTACTCGTTACTCTTTTCGTTTCGGCATGCAGGTTGCAGGTTGCAGGTTGCAGCGTTGGGTTGGGCCGCATCGTGAGCGAGACCGCGATTTTCATCATTACCCTCCCACTCCGGCCATTTTAGAACCACCCAATGCGACGTGGCGCGAGTGCGTTGTGGATGCCCAATGCCAATGGCTGGTGAGCACGATTTTGGTCATTTGGTCCCTCGAATCAGCAAGTCGTGGGGTACTATGGAGGACCCCGCGATGGACAATCACCATCTACTGTGGTATTCTCTCTCTGCATTTTTCCTGGTCGCTTGCCGCCCTCCGGTGTGTCTTACCAATGAAACTTCTTCCGATCATCTTCTTTACTTAATCGCTCCTTTGGCGTTATTGAACGGACAGGTCATTTGTTCGTCAATTATTATACATCATTGTTTCTCCATCTCGACTCCGTTCGTATCTGCAAGCATCATCCTTTTCCCAACCCCTCATCCACTGCTACCCGTTATTGTGTATACGAAAACCTAAATCCAGCGCCGTTCCCCAGTGTCGGGTGTACCCGCAGTGAGCCGAGCGCCAGCCAGTTGTCTCTGATCATGGTAGCAAAGAATAATAAGAAGGGACAAAATAAGAGCATTAAAGCTGCTCTCGTCGACTCGGTGACTCCAGAAGGGGAGGTACAATCAACAGTATGGAAAACGTTTCATTCTGTCCGTACCGGACCAATATTAACTATAATTGGTCTACCGTACAGCAGACTGCGTTCACACCACCTGTGACGTTCACAAGTGAACCAAGTGTCGACATTATACAAGCATGTAAAGATAAGGAAGAAAAAGAAGAATCAACGGAAGAGGAACAAGGTATGTTTGGAAAGCTAATGGAAACCTACCGATTTTAATTGGTTATTTGTAGTTGAGCCCGATGCGACTCAATCGAGCGATGTGCTCCAAATAGAGGACGTAAAACCTGAGGCGGATGAAGAACAATCACCAGCTCCTAGTTCAGAAGCTGATGGTCCAGGAGAGGAAGTACAGGCCGGCGGGGAATTGGAAAAGGTTGAGGAGAATACCGAAGAAGTTAGCAATCCCGAACCGGCAATAGACGTTCCTCAGACCGATGAAAGCGCACCTCCCGCAGAAAAACTTAGCGATCCCATTGCGGAAGAAACAAATAACGACTCAACACCAAGTGATCCTATCCCAGAGACGAAAAATGAAGAATCATCTCCGGATTCAGATACTGCCGTCACAGCTGACTCGCCTGTCGAGAATTCCAATCCCGAAACACAGACACAAGACGAGTGCGCAGACACACCAAAGGATGAATCTTCTCCGCCTCCTACTGAGAAACCAAGCGGGGAAGCTCCCGTCGCCGTCGATGATGACCAACCTGCCACTGCCACAGCAAACTCAGTACATTTTGAAGACGACACTGCCCCTCCCGCTGATGAAAAACCCACGAAGTCGTCTTCGAAAAAGAAAGAAAAGGACAAGAAGAGCAAGAAAGGAAAGGGCAAGGAAAAGGAAGCAAAAGTAGAAAAGATTCTGGAGCCTCCGAAGAAATTGGAAGCTAAACCGGAGGACGAATGGGCTGAGACGAAATCCGGCAAGAAAAGTAGAAAGGACAAGCGGAAGGATAAGGCAGGAAAAGGGAAAGGTGGTAAATCAAAAGGTGTCGTATCGCCGCCAACCCCCGACGAGTCTGAGACTCATTCACATGAGGAAGATAATGGTGAGACGAGTGAGCCTACGCCGCCAGCTTCCGTTGCCGCCGATGAACCATTAGAATCCACGCCTGATCAGGAGCAAGTTGTTGAAAGCCCACCAGACCCGCTTCCACAGGATCAGAGTGTACCGGAATCATCACCGCAAGATTCTGAGCCAAATCCCACACCAGATGTTGAGATTGTTGAAGAAAACCCACCACCGCCCGTACAAGAAGAATCCAAAGATGCCGAGCCCGAATCTGACGCCCAGCCCTTAGTTGAAAGTTCTGAGGAGACCGCGCCAGCAGATGAAAGTTCCAGTCCCGAGGTGCCTGTTGAAGAATCCAGCCAACCACCACAAACAACTGAGGCCGAAAACGCAAAAGATGCGGATCCTGTCATTGAAGAAACTCCACCAGCAGTTGACGATGCTAGCCCAGAACAAAGTATCGAAGAATGTAGTCAGGATGTACCTGCAGAGGCCGAGACGCCAAAGGACGCAGAGCCTATTGCTGACGAAATTCCGCCAGCTGTTGAGGACGCAAGCGCAGAGGCAATTGTCGAAGAATCTACTCAAGCACCAGCCGAGGACGAGAAGCAAAAGGAAGAGGATCCTGTCCCTGAAGAAAGCTCACAAGCAGATTCTAGCCCGGAGCCAGTTGTTGAAGAAAACATTCAGGAACCAGTCGTCGAAGAAACAACCCAGGAACCAGTCGTCGAAGAAACTACCCAGGAACCAGTCGTCGAAGAAACTACCCAGGAACCAGTCGTCGAAGAAACTACCCAGGAACCAGTCGCCGAGGCTGAGGAGGTGAAAGACGTGGATTCCACGACTGTTGTCGATGAAAATTCACCAGCTATCGAAGAAGCTAGTCCCGAGCCAGTCATCGAAGAGTCTAGTCCACCCGCTGAGGATGAAAGCCCAAAAGACGTGGATTCCATACCTATTCTCGACGAAAGCCCTGCAGAGAGTGACCCTCCTGCTCAAGATTCCCCTTCAGACAGCGAGCCTGTTGTGGAACAGGAAGTATTAGCCGAAAGCGAGCCTGAACAGCCTACTGTTGACAATGAACCACCTACGGAAAGCGAGGTAAGAAGCCCGATTTTTCTTTCTATAAACTCCTGCTTCCATGATTCAAGATTCTCGGAAAACTTCATTATTTTTCTGGGAGTTTGTAGAACGACCAAGAATACAAGTTCCTAGTTTTGCTAGATATTCTCGGAAGATAATTAATCTTGCCATCTGCTTTTTGGAACATGACTGACAATACTAGGCGTCTCCCGTGCCCGCGGAAAATGAAGAATCTTCGGCGGACAGCGCCCCCCAGCCTGAGAGCGAAGAGACTCAACAGCCCATTTCTGAGAATGAGGAGTCCCCCGCTGATGATGCCAAAGTCGAGACCGAAGAGCCCCAACAGCCCGCCGCTGATAATCCAGACTCATCAGCAGAGATAGCTTCTCAATCCGAAACAGAAGAGCCCCAGCAACCCATTGCCGATAACGAAGACCCTCCAGCAGAAATCGTACCCCCAGTTGAGAACAATGAGCCCCAAAAGCCAATCATTGACAGCGAATCTCCAACCCAGGAGGAGGCCAAAGAATCTTCGGAACCTCCCAGCCAAGAGGAGCAAGAACCCGAGGCAACAGAAGACGAGAAAGTCCCAGAAGAAGCGCCAGTAGCTGAAAGCGAACGGGCTATAATTAATACTGAGGAGAACCCGTCTGATGTTGTGCCACCAACGCCTACTGACGAGGAAGTGCTTGTTAAGGAAACACCTGTTATGGATGGGGAATCTCAAGAAGATGCCGTTAAGCCCGAGGTCGAAGAGAATACTACGACGCCAGATCCTACTACCGAGCAGGAACAGCCAGATGTACAGGAAAAGAGTCAAGAGCCAGGTAAGTTTTCTTTTCCTTATTTGTTGAGTATTGAGCGCACCCACCATGTGCTTATGATGAATATCTGTCAAATGACATTTATTATATCGAGTTACTGGGAGAATAAATAATGTTTGAAAGAGGCTCAGATAATCAAGCGATTCAAAAATTGATTATCTGTGCTTTTCGTTCATTCAATTCCATTATTCCAGCCCTCTTGGATAATCCAATAATCTGAGTGGAGTTGGGATGATCACGTGAAAACCATTATCTGTTTTCCATCAAGTCCATTTAATCATTTCAATCTCTCTACGGAGGGGCCGTTTGGCAAAATTGAATTGACTGCTTGAGAATGTTTCTTGATAAAACCGAATGCCGATGATAATTTCATTCGAAACATTTGATCTCTCAACCCTTCTGGACAATGAAGCTAACCATGTAAACAGAGCCCACTACGAACGGCGATGCCCAAGAGGAAATTATACCAGAAGGGAGTGCCGATGGAGTCGAAGTCCAAGAAAACAACGATCCGGAGCCCGAAAAAGCCGTCGAAGTCGACGATAATGAAGACGCCCATTCCGTCGATTCCTGGGAAAAAGAATCAGAAAATGGATCAGTTGACGATGGTGAAAACGAGTTCGACACGACGATGGATACCTGGGAAAGAGATGACGATGAGGAATCAGTCGATGGGGAAGTCGACGAAAATGATAAAACAATTGATACATGGGAACGAGACGAAGAAGACGAGCATGACAGAACTATCGACACGTGGGAAAAGGACGATGAAGACCAATCACTCCACGATGAGGAAGAAGACGAACACGACCGCACCATTGATACATGGGAAAGAGACGACGATGATCAAGACCAAACGATCGACACCTGGGAAAGAGACGATGAAAGTTGCCGAGATCACACAATCAATGAATCAGAGCTCTCATCCGCTCCTGAATGCGATGAGAAAGATCTCAAAATCCAAGATACGCCGGTTACAGAAAGCGAACCTCCAGTGGACGAGCCAGAGAGCGGAGTGGTTGAAAAAGCGCAACCTGCACCTGAAGAAAGCAAGAGTGAGGTCAAGGATTTTGCGAGCCATGAAGCTCAAGAAAGCACTGGAGAAGGCGAAAAGGATTCTCCGGCGGTCGATGATGCTTCAGAGGAACAAGCAAAGCCTGAAGTCGTCGAGCAGGAAAGCCAAAGTGACGAAGCTCAACCAGAATGCATCCCAGAGCCCGCGATTGGAGATTCAGAGCAAAACGGAGATACCTCAAGTGAAGAAGCCGCCCAAGTTGATACATCCGAGTCCACACCCGCGATTGTCGCAAAGGAAACCCCAGAGTCTCCGACAGAAACGAAGGAGGAGGAAGAGAGCAGCTCAGCTATATCAGAGCCTCAGCCCCCCAACGAGACTGAGTCCTTGCCAGAAGACAATGCTGCTGATCCAGAACCCCAACCCACAATTGAAGAGACTGAGCCAAAATCGGCCGATGCTGAGCTTCCAAGTGCTGAGACTGACTCAATACCAAACGAAGCCTCTGCCCAGCCCGAGTCTCAACCATCTTCAAAGGAATCCCAGCCTACTCTGAATGAGAATGAACCCGTGCAGAAAGAAGCAGATCCCGAGTCTCACTCCGTCCCAGAGGATAGCAGCAACCCAGAACCTGAGATTGTTGAGTCTACGCCTGTTCCAGCAGAAAGTAAAGATCAGGAACCATCACCCAGCGAATCCGAAACTCCTCCAGAGAGCAAGGAATCAGAACAGGATACAAAAGCCGACGAAGAGACTCCACAGCCTCCCACAAACGAGGAAACTGTTGACTCTCAGCCCCCACCCGAGGAGGCAATCAGTGTCCCAGTTCCGGAAGAACCCCAGGTAGTTGAGGAAGTCGTTGAACCTCCCGTCGAAGAACCAAGTCCTCCGGTCGAGGAAATTCAGAAAGTCGAGGAGGTACTTGAATCCCAGCCCGCTTCTGAAGAACCAGAAAATATTCCAGTTGTTGAGAATGTCGAGATCATCGAGGAGGTCGTCGAGCCCCAGGAACAAGAAGCTGCCCCAAAAGATGAACCGATAAGCGAACCCGTAAGCGAGCCAGTAAGCGAACCAGTCGTTCAGGAGACTCCAGTGGAAGGGCCCGTTATTGAAGAAGCTCCAGTGGCAGAAACTCAAGCGCCAGAGCAAGCCGAAAATCCAGTTCCCGAAGACTCTCCAGTGGTGGAAAAGACAGAATCACAAGACCAGCCACCCCCTGAGGAGCCCAAGGAATTGGAGGTTGTTGACAAGGAGCCAGTAATGGAAGACACTCCAGCGCAAGAGATCAAGGAGCAAGAGCCGAATCCTGAGGAACAGCCAACTCCCGAGGAACCAAAGGAAGTCGAGGCCATTCCCATCATCGTCGAGGAGAAAAAAGATGAGCCTGATTCAGCTCCCCAGCTCAGCGAGGTCATCCCTGAAGTTACGGAGGAGAAAACCGATGCGCCAGCGCCAATAACGGACGCACCTCTTGTTGAAGAACCAGAAACTCTCCCTGAAGTTCTCGAAGACCCTATTGTCCCTTCATCCCCTAAATCAGAGCACAAACGTCGTCACCGCTCCTCTCGATACAAGAGTTCCTCTCATCATCATCGCAGTGGGAGTTTCAGCAAAGATAAAGACTCGTCCCCTCATCATCACCACAGCTCAAGCAGAGATAAAGACAGAGACCGGGTTTCAACTCCCTATGAAGAAGCTCCTCGTCGTCATCACCGTAGACGTCGTGATAGCGAGGCTAATTCTATTCGAGAAGTCCTTTCAGCACCTAAAGAGCGAGAAAATTCCATCAAGTCATTTTTCACTTCCTCGAAACATAACAGAAGGGATAGTGGGTTCAGTATGAGTACCGGGCCTTCGCATCGTAGGAAGGAGAGAACACCTGAGGAGCAGAAAGCTCACGATATCCGCAAAGCTGAACGGAAGGCACAAAAAGAGGCGGAGGCTCTGGCTGCTGATGTTTCTCTCTCTTCCTCGAAAGACAGGGAAAAGGAAAAGGAAAGGGCCGATGAGAAAAATGAAAGTGCCATTGCAGATGGACACGCGTCTGAGGCACCTCTCACTGCTATCCCGCGACGTCGTCTCTCTTCGAGAAGGGATAGTACGATGAGCACAGGTAGTAAAGGAGAGGGCATCAAAATACTTCCGAGACTACTCGGTTTAGGAGGTGTGAGTGTCGTAAAGACACCATTCATAGCGAGCTCCGCACCGCAATACAAGGAGATTGAAATCGCCGAGAAATCCCCATCCATCAAATCCGCATCAATCAAATCCCACTCCATGGAGAAAGGAAAGGCCAAAGTTGAAATTGAAGACGTGGTTCCGGAGAAGGAAAAGGGGAAATCCAGTTCTGGATCGCGGGAACGGAGGGAGAGGAGGGAGAAGGAGTATTCGGGAGAGCAATCACGGTCGGATCGTCCGCATCATCGGAGCCGTCGTTCGCATTCTCATCGTCACGATTCTGAACGTATGGAACGCAGCGAACGTAGGGATCGGGATCGAGAACGGGATTCCGAACGTGAGCGTGGTGAGCGCTCAGAACGGAAAGAGAAATACCGTTCAGAAGCTGAGAAAGAAGCTCGTCGTCTGCGAAAAGAGAATGAGAAAGCCCTGGATGCCGCGCGTCAACATGTCGAAGAGGAAGCTAGACTCCTGGCACAACGAGAGGAGGACGAGAGGAGGATCCGAAGGGAGGAACGAAAGAAGCGGAAGGCTGCTGAAGAAGAGAAGTTGAGGAGTGCTGAGGATGCGAGACGTGCTGCCGAGGAGCCGCCGCCGAGGGAGAGGAGGGAGAGAGGCGAGCGGGTCCACAGACATAGACCTACGCCCGAGAAGCCCAAGGAGAAGGGATTCAAGGGGCTGTTTAAGAAGTTACTTGCTTGAGATATTGGGGATTTGCTTGCTACGTTTTACCGGATGTGGATTGGGATATTTCTTTTCTTCTTTCCTTTCTCTGTGCGTTGGGATTTTTGGGATATGGATATGGATATGATTGACGGCTCCCAATTTCTACATGTTTCCTTCTTTCTGTTTTTTTCCTTATGTCTTTCATTTTTTTCGTTCCTTGCGATTCTCATATCTCTCCAATTTCCGTTATGATTTACGATATGGAACGGCTGCCATGTCATGTCATGGGTATGACAATGGATACATGGGAGCAGATCAGATGGGATCAGGTCACATCACACAAGGGAATGGAAACAGTACAAGTACGATACGAACACCGGATATTTTTTTGGATCCGGGGGGGCTCGGGGGAGGGGAGAAAAAGAACAACACTTTATGAGCTGGGCGACCGGTACCTTTTTTTCTTTTCTTTCTTTACCTTATTTTGTTTGTTTTTTTGTTTGTATACATTTGTATCTTGCTTCGCTTTTTCCAGTACGGTTCTGTTTTTCCTGGGTACGGTGCGATGTATACTTTTTTTTTCATTCTTAACTTTCCTTTTTGTGTGCATGTATGTATGTATCTATGTATGTACATCGAGGATAACCTTTCTTTCATTTTTGTCTATATTTACTTCCTTGTCTTCCGATTTTTTATCTCCTGTTGGTTAGTTGGTTGGATAATGGATCAGTGTTGTGTGTGTATGAACAGTGGGAGATTGATATGGACGGGACGGGACGGGAGTATATATACAAAATTTAGCTTTTTTACATATATTTATTCTATTCTTTTGACTTTGAATGAGGGGTGAAGACTTGGTACTTAAGATGGTTTTTACATGTGAGACTTATCAACTTTATAACGTCTCAAAGGACGGGTAAGTAATAAGAAACATCTATCAAGATAATATGATGTGATTTAACTCACTAAATTAGCGTAGGGAACGAGTTAAGTTACGTCGAGTTATATAGTAGTAATCTTACCTATATAAATAATAAATTAACTTAAGTACTACTTAAATAATACGAAGTACGCCTAGTCGAGCGTCGAGTAACCGGTTTAATTACCTTAATTTAGCCGGTCCTTCTATAAGTTCTAATAATAAGTACTTTTAGCGAGCGGTCATTTAGCTAAGGGGGTAAGAGGGGGCTAATAGTGTTATATAGAATAGAGCTTTCCCTTTATTAGTTCCTAAGGTACCTTTATATAAATCGGACTATCTAATTAACTTAGAAGACTAGGGGTTATTTTTAGGTAAGGATATGAAAATGTTACTCGAGTACGAGTACTATAAGAAATAATCAATAGTAATCAAGCTAAGTGTTTAAAGGTTGCTAGTGAAATAGCTCTTGAAAGGTTTATATGGAGTGCCGGTAGTACGTCATCTACATTATCTGGTCTGTAAATTATAATCAAGTAGTTCCGGAAGATTCATAACATGTGAATCACAATCACTACAACACACAGAAAGACTTGCACTTTTGAAAGTTTCATAAATTGGTATTCCCTAAACCCCCAGGTGAAACCTTAATACATCGAGAGGCTCATGAAACAGCGAACAGTATCGCAAAAGTCCATCGCCTTAACCCGAGAGCTGAGTTGATCTTTTTAAAAACACTCTCAACGCAATATTACCACGCCCCGTTCCCAGTCGCAAGAATTAAATACATTTACTCGAATGGGTTTGTTCGGGTTCCCCACCAGGTGAGGAACATGGAGAGTCCGACAGTCTCGAAGACTCGTGCGAGGGCTCCGACAGCGACGGTGTCGAGTGGTCGCTTCTCGGTGGTGATTTGTGCGATGAACTGGAGGGGGGTTAGTGACTGTTGTTAAAGGTGAGGTAGGAGGGTGAGAACGTACTGAGGGAGCGGAGCTAGCGAAGAAGATCAATGATCCCAAGTATGCTGCACCTTTGTATGAAAGAGTGCCAGTTGCGTTAATTAGAGCTCCGATACCGTACGATTCTGTTAAATATGTTAGAATTGCCTGCTTTTGCGTTTTAATCGGAGATGTTGTAGGACAACTTACGGATTGCTGAACCAACGAGAGATGTTCCGTATGCGGCAGCTGCTGAGGCAGCCTCCTTTGACTTGATGAATTCCTCCTTGGAGTTTGCGGCTTGGGCACGGTGGTAGGTATCTCCAAAGACCGGTCCGAGAATGGCGAGGGAGGCAGCGTGGTTGAAGACTGTGCCGAGGGCGATGGCCGATGGCTTGACAGGTGGGAGGTCTGGAAAATGAAAAGTCAGTAAATGCTAGAAACGAATTGTAGGATCGGTTTGATGGTTGATTGGTGTCAACCCAATCCGTTCAATTGAATTGCCGCCAATCCCACGATGGTGTTGATAGACAGAAGCTGGAGCTCTTGCTCGATTGTATCATGTCGTCAGCGCCTCAACCCGGCACACCAAATTTCCAAAACATCGGTCGAGAGCTACTCACAGTGAAGAGACATGATTGGGAAGGTGTGTGGTTGATTGAAGATTGTAATGGGTGATTCGTCAAGGACTTGTATAGAAGCCAGTTTGGATGTTGGTGATGAGTTGAAGTGGTGTGTGTGGAATGAAAGGGAAAGAGAAGAGCAGGCACGGAATGTTTATATGGGAAGAGTACGGCAGGGCATACGCCATCCTCGGCTACGGAAGGTCTCTCAGCCAGCCAGCCAGCCAGCCCTCCTATGTTGCGCAAGCTCGCTCAGGTGAATGACTTGTTTTGCAGCTGCAAGGCAAGGCGGGGCTGTTTCCATGCAATGACGTGAGTGCCTCCCACCAAACAATAGGGATTGGGGGAAAGGGCTAGACCCATAAGAGATCTGTGGCTTGGGCCTCTCTTCGATCCTTGACGATGGGTGATTTTGGTGATGGAAGGGACCTTTGTCTCCGCAGTTCAACATTCGCGAAATCCCTCCATGCCGCTGGGCAATATCCACATTTCAACATCACGAACTCCTCGAGTCGGGCAATTTACATGATGACATTTTTCTGCCAGATTTCCCATTTCCAAATATCTTCGGAAGCTTACGAAAGTCAAAACCAACTTTGTCTCAATTGCCCATGGGAAAAAGGGGGAAATTTAGTCAATGTGGCTAATGTTGCATCTGGAAAAAACGGTGATGTCATTTTCAATATCACGTGCAGCTACCCCAGCTTTCGATTTAGCCAAGCTTTTCTCATGAAAGCAGCAACACAAGCAATGTGTTGACAGCTGCACCAGAACCTTTTCTCAATGTAAATGAGTTTTATATTAGCGAAGGAGTAGGCCCATGGTGATTCTGGACATTATGTTTGTGAATTTCCTCTTGGTACTGTGATATAAAACCCATAAGATCTCTATGCTGCTTTCTCCGCCGAAAACACATCGTGAAAGCAAAATATATGGGCCCCAATGCTTGACAGAACGACATCCAAATAACTCAACATGAAAACATAAGTTTTCTCATCAACCATCTTGTACAGATTGGTCTTTTTCATTCTAACACTCAAGGAGAGCCTTAAGTCTCCATTTGTGTGTCTTTCAGCCTTCTTTCTCGGTTTTCTGTTCCTGATTGCCACGTTTTCCGGGAATAAACACCCATTGGCCAGAGATATTTACAAGGCTGACAACATCTCATCTCTTGTAAGTTGGAAGCTTCAAGGCCTACATGAGAAACACTACTATTGAGGATCTCTGATACCTAACTTCGGAGTCATATGGCAAGTTCAACGAAGCAACAGACAAGACAAGACATCGTTATTCACAGACAAGGTGGAAGAGGTATTTTCAGCGTGAACTGTCTCATGTAAGTCCTAATACTGTATATCTGTTAGGAACAAGAGTTCAATCTCATTCTTTGTAGACCAATATTCTTCCTCGCAACCATCATCACAGCCCTCCTCATCATGATGGGAGAAGCTCGATTAACACAAGTTCCCATGGCTTCAACCCCCAAAGCGCCGACAAAATATCTGGAATACTCCATAGTAGAAGGATATTTCCAACAAAGCGACCCAGCGACAGAAGACAAGAACTTTGACTACGTTCGTCCCCCACGCCTATTCAAGAAAATGGGATTCTGACAAATCCCTCAGACAAAAGTAAATTTCGGCCTGGTAGACAGATTGTATGAGGTAGATGGGAAAATCCAAGATCAGACTAAAACCCAATGGGAACGTTTTGAACTCGAGGTAGCTCGTCTGAACCGAGAAAGTGAAGCTAATGTTCAGTACAAAGTCCTCTTCAGTAAGAATCCCAATTCCCTCGTAGAGTCACACTCGCTAATATAACATAGTGGGAAGACACGGAGAGGGATACCACAACCTAGCTGAAGCCTTCTACGGAACCCACGATTGGGATGTTCGTCCTCTCCCCATTCAACTCAACCATGAACCAAACTAACAACCCAAGTGCTACTGGTCCCTCCAAAACGGAAACTCCACAACCACCTGGTCCGACGCCCTCCTCACTCCCACCGGCGAAGCCCAAGCCCTAGCCGCCCACACCTTCTGGAAGCACCAACTAACAACCCAATCCCAACCCTCCCCCCAAACCTACTACACCTCCCCCCTCCTCCGCTGTCTCCGCACCGCCTCCCTCACATTCTCCGACCTCCCATTGGCCCCCTCCCAACCCTTCAAGCCGCTCATCAAAGAACTGATCCGTGAGGCGATCGGGGTCCACACCTGCGATCGTCGCTCCTCGAAATCTGTGATTGCAAAAGCGTACCCGGAGTGGGAGTTCGAAGAGGGTTTCACGGAGGGGGATGAGTGGTGGAATGATGAGTTGAGGGAGAGTGATGAGGCGATGGATCGGAGGTTGAGGATGGGGATGGGTGAGATTTTTGGGGGGGATGGGAGTACGTGGATTTCTATTAGTAGTCATTCGGGGGCTATTGGGGCGATTTTGAGAGGTGAGTTCCGCTTTCTTTCTTTTTCTTCAGTCGAGTTGGGATGCTTATTTGATGTGTTGGAGAGGAGCTAATGAGTGCAGTTTTTAAACATAGGAAGTTTGCTTTGGGGACTGGACAGGTGATTCCGGTTTTTGTGAGAGCTGAGGAGGTTATTGGAGAGGGGCCGCCGAGGGAGAAGGGACCGTATACTACTGTTTCTACGTGTAGTAAACCTCCGGATCCCACTCCTGCTTAGAATTCTCGAGCCCTTGGTGCAATATTCTGTTGGGCTAGGAGGAAGTCGAGAAAGATAAAATGAAAACACTTATGATAGATATAAATATCGGTCCATGTGGGAGCGATTTGTCAATTCATTCAATATCATAATATCACAAACAACAAAGAAATCAGCATCACGGTAGAGTTCCTTAGTATTATACATCGCCTCCCAAATTATCCCATAGGAAGCAAATTGTTACTCCACCCTTAAAAAGAAGAAGAAACCCAACCAACCAACCACCCAATCCCATGCATCGTTTTCCGTCATCCAGGTCGTTCTGTTGTCCCATCACGCCAGCCCAATAGGTATCATTCCGTCCATTACTCCCCTTATTCCCCTCCCAATCTGAGTAGATTGGTGGAGTGTTTTACTTTCCACTGAACCACGACGACTTTGCCTTTGCGGCTTGGGCCTCGACTTTGCGGTCGACCTCGTCGATCTTCTTCATTGTTGCTGATTCGGCGCGGGCAGCTTCAGCCTTGGCTTTCTCAACCTGGGGAGGGGTGTTAGTAAATGTATGGAGAGAAATGGTTTGATGGTGATGCTGATATCTCATTAGAAAAGATATCAGGGATGAACTAACCAGAGAATCAACTTTTGCACCGGCCTCGCTTCCCCACTTCTCTGTTTCCTTCTGGGCTTGGTTTGTTCGGCCTGGCATCTCGGACTTGAGCTTGGCTGAGGCCTTGGAGATGTCACCTTGAGGTTGTTGTTAGCACAATGACAAGATAAAGGGGATTTGAGGAACGATCCCAAAGAAAAGAGTAGAGAGGGACATAATTGAAGGGAACATACTCTCAAATTGCTTCTCAGCAACCTTTGGGCTTCCACCCGCAGTATACAGATAGTAACCAACACCACCAGCGGCAGCGAGGGTGACCATGAGAGGAACTCTAGACTTTGGTTGAGCCATTGTGTTGATGTGAAGTAGTATCTTCTTTGCGATGTTGATTGTATCGGTGAAGTGTTTTCGTTCGTAGGAAAGAATTGATTGTTTGAAGTGTGGAGTAGAATGTAGAAGAGACGAGACGTTGAGAGGTCACACAGATGAGCTGATTTTATGAAGGAAATGAGGGGAGGCCAAACTTGCTTGCACTCATTGGTCCATCGCCTTTCCAAGGTTGCTGGCTCACCCCGCGCCTGCCAATGAGGAACGCCATTCGCGGGCTACGTCATGGGGAGGACAGAAAAGAGCTTGGTGCGTAGGATGCTCCGTGCTGGGTGCACAAGGCGGGATGCACCATTTTAGTCGGTCGAGGTGGATCTTCTCCACTAAAGCTGCACTTTGCCGTCATTTCTGGATGTGTGTATTTTTAAAGTTGTGACTTGCATGGGCGAACAGACTTCAGAGCGAGGTGCCAAGTGCCCAGAGATCAAGGTTCTAGATTCTGCGAGTGCTTCTATTCATCCCCCCTATTTTGTTACCAGTATTTTTGAACTAAAGCCTTTTTTTCCTATGCTTTGGATCCGCGAGTAAAGTTACGAAAAGTTATACTTGCTGGGCCCAGCTCACTATACGGCTTGTGTGCTGGTCACTGGTCACATTGACAGAACTCTCAGTAGCACCAGCCCAATCAACCACCTGCGTACCCACCGCAAACATCATCAGCTCAAGTAGCAGATATGCTTCTCCACGTAAATAATTAACATGTCTCCTCATCTCCATTCGTCGACTCGTCGACCTCAACCTCTAACCGAGACCGATTACGACCACGAAATCAGCTTGGAAGACCATACCTCGCCAACCTCCATCCAAAGTACCTCCCGAAGTCGGTCTGCTGATCCTGTGCAACCAGTCGAAGATACGGCCTCGGACTCCTCGTCGAGAAGAAATAGCGATGTTCCCCTGAGGAAACCCCACAAGTCCCAGAGGCTGCGGAAGGAACTTTCGAAACGAAAGTATAGGAAATATCAGGATCGACGATTAGGGGGAGAAGGTGGTCTTGATGGGCAAGCGGTGGAGGAATCTGCAAACGAGGAGGAGAACACAATCGAGCATGTTGATTCTAACCAGAATGGAAGTGCACCCGCAGAAGGCAACGAGGAAGAGCAGCCCCGCGGACGACGGAAAAAGAAAGAGGTCAAGGAAATTGATTCCGCGATCGACATCTTATACGAGAACCAACGAGGCTTGTTTCTCTGCGGAGCAGCCCTATTTTCCTCCAAGGCACTAGGAAACCTGGATCCCTCTCCATGGACAAACATCGCGCACAAAACCAGCGCCACGAACCCAACGAACGCACAAGTCCCCGATCCATCCTGGGAATGGGCCTGGAAAGAATGGGTGATAAACCACGAAAACGACGTGGATGAGGACGGCTGGGAATACTCGTTTGCCTTCTCCAAAGCATTTTCCTGGCACGGACGATCATGGTGGAATTCCTACGTCCGACGACGAGCCTGGATCCGCAAACGCGTGCGCAAGAATGCTGGATACCAAGCTCAACAACCGGACAATATGCTTACCGCTGATTACTTTACCGTCAATTCGACTCCACGGGACAGGAGTCAGAGTCAGAGTCGACCTTCTACGTTGGCGGAAGCGAATCGATTAAGTGCCGCCAATCGCGTATCTCTAAACATGGACGACCGCGAACAGGATGAGGAAATCTGCAATATCAATGCGTTGATGACTGCCCTAAAGCTAGCCCGCATCGACAGGGAGAAACTCGAAGTCGTCAAGAACTTTATCAGACATGGGGAGGGCGACCTATACTATCTCCAAGATCGCATGCACGACATCATGAAGATGTTCATCTTCCAAGCCTCGCGCAAAATCCTACTCGCCCATCTCCACCAAGAGTACGACTCGGCATCCAAATCCCACCAAGAATCTCAAAAATCAAAAGTCGGAGATGAAAATGAAGATGAAGATGGCAAAGCCTGGTCAACCAGAAAACGTCTCGAATACCTCTCCGCAGCCCTCGAACACGCCGACGAAGAAGTCAAGAAACTAGAGTTCTGGAGCGACGTCAAGGAGATGGCGGAGAGCGGCGACACCAAACACGCCGTTGATGCGCGGAAAGGGTGGGAAGTGAGACAATGGGAGGGTATCGATAATAGTGGCCCCAAGGACGTGATATCCCAGCCCGAGAAAGCGCATATCAAGATTGATATCTCGTCCATTGAGGGCAAAGATGGTGATAAGGGAAATGAGACGACGAAGAAGGTGGATAAAGGGAAGGGGAAGGAGGGGGATGGGACGTAATTGTTGTTACTGTTATTACAAATTTGGATTGCAGGACCGGGGCATGGGGATCAGGCGTTTTTCATGTTTGGGAACCTTGGAAGGATTCGAGTATATAGATACCTGCGAAGGAGGAGTGAGGAGTGAGGCCTGTGTTTCCATGCTTTATATCATTAAAGGGAGGGATGGGTTAGGATAGGATAGAGGGAATTCTTTTTCTGGGGGAGGGGCGCGGTGGGGGGGATACTTAGGTACAGTAGGTAAGTTGGTAGAGATAAGTCAAGTGAATCCCGAGACTCCTCTTTCTTTATCTCCTACAGTACTGTACGAGGAGAAGGAGCTCTTGGGGTAGATAGTGATGGTAATAGTAATTATTTTATCTTACTAGATGTGAGGTGTTTTTCTTGAATTTTGACACTTGTGCAATTAGGAAGTTGTGATAGCTGCTACCTAGCAGGATCTGTTGTAGGAATATTAACACTGTAAGCTTACATAGATAGCTGGGGTACTAGTGTTATGTACAGTACCTTACTGCAGAATTGGCCATGGTATGTATATATATATACCATCGACTTTCGATACTGAACCGCAGCCTCAGACTAGACGCAGGCGATGTCTGTCATCTTACCCCTGGAGTTCTCGCGGACTGACCTGAACCACCAAATACATATCTTCACTTCCTATATCCCCATGAACATACAATTATGGAGGAGTATAATGCCCCGCAGGTGTATGTATCATAACTACTCGTACATATCTATATGGATGTAAGACTTACAGTAACTGTACAGTACAGTATAAATTTCGCTACCCTACTTGGCCAAGAACTTCTGAAAAGCCTTATGGTCAATAGTAATATTCCCCACCGCCTTCAACTTCTTCCTGCCCTCCTTCTGCTTATCGAGCAACTTCCTCTTGCGTCCAATATCCGCCGCGTGCAACTTCTGAAGCACATCTTTACGGAAGGGCTTGATAGTTTCTCTCGCCACGATGCGATTCCCCACCGCGGCTTGGATGATAACTTCGTACATCTGTCGGTCAACGTGTTCCTTGAACTTCTTGACCCAGATCTTGCCCAGACGCTCGACTTGCGAGTGGTGGAGGACTCGAGCGACGGCATCGACGGGCACTTTGTTGACGAGAAGCTGCATCTTGACGATGTTGCTGCGTCGGAAGCCGGCGTCTTCGTATTCGAGCGAGGCGTAGCCTTTGGTTGCGCCCTTGAGTTTGCCGAAGAAGTCGTCGACTAGCTGGGCGAGGGGGATGTCGTATTTGAGAATTACTTGGGTCGCGCTGAAGAAGGTGAGTTCCACTTGTTCTCCACGATTCGCTTCACAGAGTTCAATGACTTTGCCGAGATATTCCTCTGGGAGTGTGATGGTCGCTGAGACGTATGGTTCTTGGAGCTCCGAGACTTTGTTTTGGTATTTGGTGTTATCCGGGAAGTTATTTGGGTTGGAAATAACTTCTTCTTTGAGACCTTCTCTCCAGATGACTTTGAAAGGGACGCTGGGAGGTGTGATGATGACACTTGCTCCGTGTTCTTGTCGGAGACGGTCTTCGAAAACAGAGCAATGAAGCGTTCCTAGGAAGCCCATTCTCCAGCCTGCGCCTAACGCTTCCGAGGACTCCTTTTGGAGAGTCACACTTCTGTCGTTGAGAACGATTTGATTGATTGAGTCTTCCAGGTGACCGTGATCACTTTGATCCACTGGAAATGCTGAAACGAAAACCATAGACTTTGGTTCTTCAAATCCGGGGTATGGCTCGACTAGTCCTTCTGAGCCGACAGTTGTGAAGGTATCCCCACTCAATGCTTCAGCACTCTTCTTCATCCCCGGGTTGAAATGTATATATCCAACCTGACCCGCTCGAAGTGAGCTTTGAGCGGTTTGGTGTGGATACATAATTCCAACCTCTCCAACGAAATACTTTTTTCCAGTTGCAAAAGAAACAACATGATCCCCAGCCTTGATAGTCCCATCAAACACCCTAACCAACAAAACCACACCCTTATAATTATCATACCAAGAATCTACCAGCAGCAATCGTAGAGGTTTCTTATGGTCCCCTACCGGACAAGGTATCTGCTCAATGACCTGCGGTAAAATCGCCTCAACATTCAATCCCGTCTTCGCAGACACCAAAACAGCATTCTCCGGTTCCAACTCAAACGCAGTCTTCATCTGCTCCAAAGCCCTCGGCGAATCCGCAGAAGGTAAGTCGACCTTGTTAATAACCGGCACCAACGTCAGTCCCTGCGAGAACGCCAAATAGAAATTTGCAACCGTCTGCGCCTGCACACCCTGACTGGCATCTACCAGCAAAAGCGCCCCGCCACAACTAGCATACGAACGGCTAACCTCCGCACGAAAATCTACATGGCCTGGTGTATCGACAAGATGGAGCAGATAGTCCTCCCCTTTGTGTTTATATATCATACTACATGTCTGAGCCTTGACCGTGATTCCTCGTTCGCGCTCTACATCTAGCTTGTCCAGAATCTGTTTATTTCCTCCTGGCGCAATCGTGCCCGTTATTTCTAGGAGTCGGTCGCTGAGCGTGCTCTTGCCATGATCAACATGTGCTACGATGCAGAAATTTCGGAACCGGTCAATGGGGATGGCTTGGATGCGGCGCTCTACTTCTGAAAGAACTTTCGAAGCTTGAGCTCGATATGCTATCGAGGTAGTGAAGGCGCGAGGGCGGGTGCTTGATTGCGCGAAGACAAATTGGGAGGAGGCATATGCATATGCATATTGGGATCGAATGGAGCTAGGTAGCCGGAGGAGTTGTAATGGACATCGCTGCATTGGAGTGGAAGATATGAGGGGTCGTTGAGCTCTCTTTCTCATATAAAAAATATCGGTGCCACTTTGGGAATTGGAAGGGTGAGGGTTCGGCAATTGCTGGGCCAACCAGAAGAAGTGGGCCCAACTTTCTGGGGAAATACCATCAACCTTTTGAGCCGCAACTTTGACCGATCCAACCCCATTCCCCGATCCTCAATTCCCAAAATGTCGACCGCTCCAGCAGGCAAAGAGAAATCGAAGACCCATAAGCTGTCCCTGAAGGGTAATATAATTACTACAACCCCCTTTTTATGTCGAGAAAACTAACCCCACCCACCATAGGATCCTCACGGCTAGTAGCAGAATTCGTAAGAGAAGCCGACACCCTCGAAATCATAAGAACATAACATACTGACGTACCACAGTTCAATTACTCCATAAACACGATTCTGTAGGTCAATGCCAAAATATGAAGATAGGGACAGGGAGAGAGAGAATGCTAAGAAGTAACTAGATTCCAACGAGGCGTCTACCCTGCCGAAGACTTCGCAGCCGTCAAAAAATATGGCCTCACCATGCTCGTTTCCTCCGACGACCAAGTCAAAGCCTACATCAAGAAAATCATGTCGCAGCTCGATAAATGGATGGTCGGAGGCAAGATCTCGAAGCTAGTGGTGGTGATAACAAGCAAAGACACGGGCGAACCCGTAGAGCGATGGCAATTCGACGTTCGTCCTCTTCCTCTTTCCCTTTCCCTCGCCCCTCTTCCCCTTGGAACTAAACTTTTCCGCAGGTCCAAATCTTCGCCAAACCTTCCAAAAAGAAATCCTCCTCCAAAGTTCCCGACAAGGAGAATTCCACGCCCGCAAACGAGGCCGCACCCGTAGAGAAAACAGAAGCCGAGATCCAAGCCGAGATCCAGAGTATATTCCGCCAGATCACCGCATCCGTAACCTTCCTCCCACAACTAGATGGCGATTGCACGTTCAATGTTCTCGTCTATGCAGATGCGGATAGTGAGGTGCCGGTTGATTGGGGTGATAGTGAGGCGAAGGATATTGTTAATGGGGAGAAGGTGCAGTTGAGGAGTTTTAGCACGGCGAATCATAAGGTCGATACATTGGTTAGTTATCGTGTTGGTTAAAAAGCTGGTGATGGGGGGGGGGAAATGTAGGATTTGAGGAACTTGATGTGTATGGTAAGGTGGCTTTATGGAGTCTTTGGTGTTTTCATGGCTCTTTTTTCTGGTATCTCCTTGTCCGGCTCTGCTGACTGGCTGGTACATAGATTTGTAGTGGACAGTCGTATCGTCTTTGTTACAACTGTCTAATGCAACTCAATAGTTCGAACAGCCTATTTCTATCAAAGTTCACAGAGCTTCCTTTGGCTATGGTTCGATCACTCCACATTCGTCCTTTGTATACCATCTCTGAATTGTGTATACAGTACGAATTATCTAAGCTTCACTATGTTTATCACCTATCTCCTGGCCTTGAAGTAAGAGGCGTATCCACTATCATCTTAATATTTGGTAGCCAACTCAAAACGTTCCCTATTCATGGTTTCAAAGTTGAATAAGACTTGAGTTTTTAGAAATATCGTTGACTGCAAGCAACGATATTAGACGATTTCTTGGTCTTCTTTGAGGTATCTGTACTGACACATTTAATCCATACAGTTGTTCTAGTTGCTGTGATATTTCTCTCTGACACATTGGGTGGTTAGCGATTCGCGGCGGTTTTAGTTTATCATTTTTATTTTTTTTACTTCTTCTCTTGAAAAGAAGGGGGGGGGTTGTGTAGTGTGGTAGGTTACTGTAGTGTTAAAAGGTTATTGGGTGTGTCTTGTGGGAAGCCTTGGGAATATACTTGATGCTACGACAATATTACTATGTGTGCTTCAAATAACGATGAGTATTAGACAAGTTTTGCCATTAATCTTTAGTAATTGTAACAACTTTTATTAGCGCGCATATAACTCGGTTCATAAAGTATTGTGAGGTCTACTTTAAGGGGTTTTAGTAACGGTCAAGTATCGGATAAGCTATATAACAATAGAGTAAGGAGAATGCAGGGTGTCACGAATCACGTGTTAGCATGTGACGAGTTAGTCCAAACGGCGTTCTGACAGGACAGATACATCCAGAGTAGTTATATCATAGCAGTGGTTACTCAGGGTTGTTGAGTATCCAAGGATTTCATAGCATTCATAGTCACGTGATAAAAGCGCGACAGCGCGACAAGCGAATTGTCGCGCGCGACAGCACGACGAGCGCGCTGTCGACATTTGGGATTTGGAGAACGAAGGTTCTATATAAGACTGGCATGTCTGCCATTAGATAGGAGCTTCGTGCTCAACTTAGTTATCAATAGTCTTCTTCTTATCATAGCATACCAACCAGCGAACACCCAGCCAAGTTTAGTTAGCCAGTTTGAGTATTCGTTACACAGGGACGGCTTCGAATATAAATACAAATACAGAAAACCCTCGATACAGGGATATACTCGGGGGCAGTTTTCCTAAGGATATAACCGAGGTTATCCTTATATTAAGGGTCTTAGCATAGGCGACGACAAGGTCGTATATTTAAGTACTATAGGTAGGAATATGTAGTATAATGTCTAGTACTATTAGTAGTATACGTAGGAATTCCTTAATTCCTGTTACTACAGTTATATTTTATAACTAAAATGTATAGAAGTTACTTAGATTCTAAAAGGATTACTTATATAATACTTAAATTTTAGCCTCTAAGGATAAAAGCGAGGGTAATTTTGGTGTAGAAATTTTTTTAGAACCTTAAAAGACTAAAGATTATTCTTAAATCCCTACCTAAAAAAATCGGGGCCTAAATTTAAGGATATAATCGAGGATATCCTTATATTGAGGATTCTTATATCGAGGTTTTCTTATATAAATACGAGGTAGCTAACTAGAATACTACGATATATATCGCTCGAGCTAGGCTAAATTATATCTAAAAAGTAGAATTACTTATAAACTAACTTTTGTTAGTATAAATAATACTTAGGCCCTCTTTTTCTCTACTTGTTATTTATATAGTTTTTATATAAGTATTACTTAGATTTTATCTACTTCTTAGAACGAACTTAGCTACGAAACTATTACTAATAATCGATAGCGAAACTTCTCTATTAATAAGAGCGGTGTTTAATATAGTAACGGGGGTTAAGGGTCTCCTTTAATAGTTTAGAAAAACCTGGATATAAGGATATTCGCGGGGGTAAGTTTCGTAAGAATATAACCGAGGTTATCCTTATAGCGAGGGTCTTAGTATAGGCGATAATATAATTATATATTTAAGTATTAGGATTATATATTATAGTACTTACTAGTTCTTATATAAGGCTACCTAATATACTAATTCTTGTTATAAAGTACTAGTTTTATACTTGAAAGTATAAGGAATTTTATAGAACTACTAAGTTTCCGAGGATTCTATTGTAACGAATACTCAAACTGGCTAACTAAACTTGGCTGGGTGTTCGCTGGTTGGTATGCAATGATAAGAAGAAGACTATCGGGTTGTTCACTTGGAAGTGAACTCGTTACTTGTATCAAAGATATCAAACTAATATGATAAGATTGATAGCTAAGTTGAGCACGAAGCTCCTATCTAATGGCAGACGTGCCAGTCTTATATAGAACCTTCATACCCCGCGTATGGTCCGAGTATAGAGTAGTATAAGCCTTCCTTATACTTCCTTATACTCCGGTATCATAGAGTAGTATAAGCCTCCCTTATACTCCCTCATACTCCCTAGTCACATGATCTCCTGTAAGGAAGAAATCCTTGGATCGCTTAGCTACCCTAAGCGATCCCTATTTGCTATAAGAAACCTGAATGTGCCTGTCGAGGGTTGCGCCTCTTATTATGACAAGTATCACGTGAACACGTGATTCGTGACATCTATAGCTTCTAAGAATATAAGTCAGGTTATTTTAGGTGTAAAAAAAGATTTGGGACCTAGGAAACTAAGGATTGTCCTTATTATAGAGGTATCCTTAGCATATTTACCTAAAAAAATCGGGACCTAAAATTTAAGGATATAACCGAGGTTATCCTTATATCTAGTATCCTTATATCCAGGTTTTTCTGTACCAGTTGCGTATAATTTCCAACCATAGTCTTCGATAGGTTCAATCTGCGGAAATGGTAAAGCGGGTGGAACGGAAAATATATATTATGGGGCCGTCTCCTAGCTATGTCGCAAGATCTCTGTCGGGTAATTCTAAGAATGTAGCTCTTTGAATAACTCTGTCTTCAATTATGTCTGGTCGCCCAGAACAGTCTTTGCTTTCTATTCTCGTTACTCTCGCATTCGGCTTCCCAAGTTCTAGTGTTCTCTCTTTTCACCTACAACTGTTTATTCTTGTGGTAGGAAAGGGTAGTAACAGTGGAACATTTCGATAAAACTCGTGTGGGTCTCGCTAAGGAAATCCTGCGTCTAATACGAAACCTAGTAAATCCTTGGAAATCACCAGAATAGATTGCCGTTAGGGCTATGGGAATTTTACTACCACCGTATTAAGAATCGTAATAATGAGGGTTTAGGACTATTGGGCACCGCTTTAAGTAATAAAACGAATCTAAAAAGTGGCTAAAAAGTGGGTAGAAAGAGGGGATTACTAGGTAGAATAGCTTCCTCCTAGCTAGCCCTTTTATACTTTGGTTACAAAACACTTACATTTTCCCTTTGGAGGTAATTTTCCTACTAAGTCTAGCTGTATTAGAAGATACTATTTGGCATGCTTGAATTATATTAGAAGTTTACTAGAAACCTCATCAGCCTTCTAGAAATTGGCTGGAAATGCTATCCTAACTTAAAGCGGGCCTCGCGAGCACAGACGCCTGCGGCTGCTCGTAGAGCCCCTAAGGACAGCTGGCTAGTACCCCCCCTGTTAACTACCCAAAAGGGTAATTAACGATTATTGGTCAGATATACCTGGTTAGTATCCACCTTACACTTGGCTACTCTACGAGTGTAGTAGGTAAAAGTTAACTAAAAATTATAAGCTTAGTATGAAATTATATCTACAAATCTAGGGCTTTCTAATAGTACTATTATATTTTTGACATTTGCTTTATTAGTAAAGATACTAGCGTTTTTATTATTTTGTGATTTCGGGTATTGTCGCCCTTACTAGTATATACTTGGCTACTCCGCTATCCTACTGAACTACTCCACTACCCTACTTAACTACTCAACTACATACGATTTACAGGCCTTGTATGGTCTCTAGTACTAGCCAGCTGGCGTAAGAGGCTCTGCCAACTCGTTCCTCGTTGTTGAGGCCTGAGGCTCTTATAGTATGAATGTGGAAATGCTACGAAATAGGCCAACACCCCTGTTAATGCATCTTGGCGTGATAACAAATAGTGACGAGCTTCCGTTTGTAATAAAAGAATACAAATATGGTATTGAGGTCTCGTTATATATAACTACAACAGCCCTGATTGCCTTGGTAAATCGAATGTAACACCAATGCTTGGGGTATGAGGTGGATAACGCTAAGAGTCGCAGAAGTTGGCAAGACCACTTTTCGTGGCTTTCTGGGCCACTCAGGGAACACCTTTCCACGGTCTCAAGATCCTGGAGTTTAAATTTACACTGTTCCAGACAGCACTCCGTACCCCATCCACACATCCCAGCAGTAGCATAGAAGTCGATTTCCACAGTATCGAAGTAGTGTGATTGCCTACAAGTATCTCTTGGTATTGCCCCTTGCGTTATACTTCGTATAGAGTAGATCCTTGGGAATTTGGAAAGACATATAAGTGAAGTATACAACTCCTCTCTTTCTGTCCAAAAACCAACAAACCAACAAACCAACAATTCTTAATCAACAAACTATTAAATCAACAAATCAACAAGCTCGCCCATTTTGCCTCTTGACGAACAAGATGAAGTTTACCACTGTCCTTTTCGCTACTCTCTCCCTTGCTACACTTGGTTTAGCATCACCATTCCCCCAAGATGAGCCTGAAGATGGATTTGGTCAGGAGCTTGAACCATGCGATAAGCCGAGCTGTAATGCAAGATGTGGAAAAGCTGTCAGTGTTCTTCTTTGTTCTTCCTCTTTTCCCTGAAATGATCATAACTGACGTACCTCAGGGCGTACTGGTAGCAGTTTGTGCTCACGCGGGCGGTACCAATTGTGTCTGTAACAGTGAGGGAGATCCAGGGTTCGGGAAAGGAAAACCAAACAAGGCGTAAATGGAGATGGATCACATACATTGTTGCATAGAGAAAACAAATAAAAATTTGTCAAAAATATATTGAAGGCAACGTATTTGTCGCAATACTAGCTCGCTTTTATGCTTCTTTGAAGAGAAAGATATGACATTTAGGGAGAATTCATCATGTTACCAGTTCATCCGCACATTCGGGTCTTATGGAACAAGTTTATCAGGTTATGGGAGTTGTTCAAGTACTTGTGTTTACAAATTTGTGCCATACCATGGGCCGTTACGGCGACCAATTCTAGTTAAGACGAAATGACAGCAGAGTTGCAGATCCATCTCATAATTGGAGCCAAAACCATTATATAGACTAAGAATCGCTTGAAAAGATAACTTTCATAACATGGGCCATGGATCCGCTTGGTGTAACCTATACATACTATGCATAATGGGAATGGTTGCTGTTACGGCTTTCTAAAATATACTTGGTGTCGAGATTCTAAGATTTGAAGAAGGAACACTCCTCAGAACAATGAAAGCCAGAAGCAATGGTCCTAGACAGTAAAATCTTTGGAATGCCTGGCATAATACAACCTCCCTTTGCAATCTGTTCATAATTCAAGCATAGGTACTGTGTTTGACTTCAGAAGTTCAATAGACCTTGGGCCAGAATTGCCTCACAGCCTATCTACAAAACAGGGAGATTATCCCGAGTCCCGAAAATGGCGTGGCGAAAAATTTATCTTTCAGTTGATAAGTGTTCTGAGAAACCTCTCCCACATTTTCTATGATCATGCCGCTTTAGCTCACCAAGTGCCCTTCCTTCCATCTCACCCTCCCAGTGAACATTCACCCCCAAGACCCACCTCAACTTTAGAAGCGCAAACAAGACAACTGCCACCAGCAATTCAATAGGTTCATTAAAGTACATCTGTCCCAACGGTAGGATTGAGCTACCTATTGAATTGCGAGATACACCAACTTCTTGGAGTCGAAGACTTCAAGTTGCAGAGTTAGTCGGGGTTAGGTGCTTGCGCCTAACCCTCTTTTTGCAGTTTTTTAATTTTATTTTCTGGGATGCTCTGCGATGATGGAGACTTGTAAATTGGGCTCTAAGCAGCATCTTATCTTTTTGGTGCTCGTCAATCAGGTTCAATCGTGGGAAAAAGAGGGGAGCAACTGTATTTGTAAGTCTTATATCCTGCTCTTAGTACTTCACCACTGGATACCGCTGCTTACAGAAACATGAAAGAATCAATAAAGAAACAAAATAGCCCGAATTCTGCTTCAGCAGAAGTTGAATTTGTCAGGAGAACTCGGGTACTATTGTAACAGTAGCCGAACTTTCCTGTTTTTTGAGTCGCACCATCAAGATCCCCTCGCTTAGCAAAAAAAGGATCTCCAAAAGCTCTACCGGGCCTACCCTCTCTCAAAACGAATCTCTCTCTCACCCTCCTAAAAGGAGAAAAAGCGAAATAACGCAGCAAAAGGAGTATCGTAACTTCGAGCGAGACGCCGAGAAAATACCCAATGTTCGCTCTTACGCTAGTTCATTGGTTTCCATGGGCCACATGCAAGTCTTACGTTCTCTACAGAGCCAATTGAACGGTTGGTTACAGAGCCCTATTTGCGATTTTGACTCGCTCAACTGAATTTTGAGTATGGAGTGGCAAATGGAATCGTGGTTAGGGGTGGAAGAACAGATGGGGGTGGGACACTGGGAGGTGGATTTCGTGGTTCTGTTGAGAGCTTTTCGAGGGAATACTGTCGTTGGATTGGCTCTGATTGGCACGAACACTACTTTCTTCTTAATAGAGAGTCTTTTATACCGTTGTTGTGAACTTGTGGTCTGGGAAATTGCTCCATACAAGAAAGTCAAGACTCAGGACGAGATACTCTTCGATTGTATTAACACTTAAACATCACACGAAGGAGAGCACAAATCAGGAAGTGTAACAGTAAAGAAAAAATGGTAATCGATTAAGCGTCTGCTAATACGAATTATAGAAAGAGTTTAACCGACACATCATGAGGAGAGAGAATAGACTATATGAAATATGTGTTGGTTTGTTTACTTGTCCTAATTGACTGACGTTTATAACCTCTAACGCCATGTGATACCCAAAGCAGGAAGCCCATTTTATTCTAGACATAAATCTCTATGCAATTTCCAAGATTCTAATCCAAGTAGTGGTACCATTCTACCTCAAAGACCTCCTTCACCCTTTTCATATCGAAAACAAGCACCCAACTCTAAATCCCAAAATCGCCTCAGGACGATACGCATCGTCTAAGCGAGGTCTCCTGAAACTATAGCACTCCTCGTACTCCGCAAACAATAGATTACCCCCTCCCAGCCACCATTCCCTCCAACCCCAAACTCACTCATCTCCCACTCTACCACCACCCGCTCCTCACCATCTCACCCGTAACCCTCCTCTCCATCTCCACAACATCCCATCCCCCATCAAGTTCCTTCTCCATCCGCTCCCTCACCCTCTTCTCAACACGCTCAAGCTTCTCCTTCCTCAACTCCCTCTCCGTCTCTACCATATCCTCATCCACAACGTCCCAAATCACCCTCGCAAAACGATCCTGCTCCCTCATTTCTTCAGTGCCCCTGAACTTCTGCACACCGCGTAACCATAGCAACACACGCTTCTGGGCATTCATATCGTCGGCGAATGTCCAGACGGGACGCTCGAGTTCTGGATCTAGGAATGGGTTGTCCTCTTTGAAAGGGTGGAGACAGGGGTCCCAGGATGGGACGGCGGGGGGAAGGAGTTGGTATTCGTGTTCTTGTTCTGGGTCTTGTTCTCGTTCTGGCTCTAGATTTTCATCTGTTATAGATTCTTGATCTTGGGTTGCAAGGGTGCGGTTTTTAGTTGGTATGTTGGATGAAGAGGTTGGTGTTTTCTCCCGGTCGTTTTCGTAGATTTTTATGTTGCCTTCTTGTTCGATCCATTGGGTTTTAATATCCTTCTCCTTTCCTTTTACTTTCTCTTGGATATCTTCTTTCTCTCCCTCCTTGGGTTGAGGCGAACCTGGTGAAGAAGAGGGACGACGTGTGATGGTGAGATTAGCGAGGTCGTGCTCTAGCGTCGCTTCCGGGTTCGAAGCAGATGCCAACATTTTGGAGGTCTCGTATTGTGGATAGGCTGTCATGGTTACCGCTCAATTGAGTTTCTATAAGTTGAATTCGGTTGGTTTGGATATTGTGTTCTGATCGAGGATTGAGGATGTAGTGAGTGTTGAAGATGATTCGAGAGAAGGGATGACTATGTATGATTAAATGTATAAGTGATATGATAAGATGACAATAACCGAAGTTTGTTAAATTCAGTGTTTTGTTTTCTTCAAAATTTGCGTGGAAGAGAAAAAAGCAAGAAACAGTGGGAAAAGACCTTCTGTTTAATCCCCAAGGCCCTCTCACTACCCTGCATAGCTCATCCACCGCGTACCTCATTAGATGCAACCATTCTCATTTGTAATCTTGAAAATACCTCGGTGATGCAAACTCCCAAAGTAGTGCGGCTCAAAACCCAACGGGCGCTCACTACTCGAACCGGGAACTTCTTAGCTTGAATCTAGAGTTGAAGTAGTCTCTACTTTCCCGACCCGAACCCGAATATGACAGAAGAAATTGCAAACAAGAGAAATATAGATAAACAAATTCATTTTAAAGAGATACTATCTTTCATCCATCAAAATAACCAAGTAACCAAGTCCAAACGAACGAAACTCCGCCACCATCCAAAAAACTCCCCTCAACACCTGTCTATCCCTACACAGCAAGACTCTAGGACAGCTCCTAAAACCCTACTGCATCATTAGTACCATCCTAAAAGTACGCAGTAAAACTCGGGAATAGGAATAATCGCGCAACAACCAGCTAACCATAGCTACAATTCAATGACATCACAAATAGCATTTCCCAAAGTTTTCAGCATATGCCATATCTTTTCTCGGGACAAAGCAAGCGGTGTTTCGATCAAGAAATCCTAACCAATCCGCTGAAACAAAAAAGATCCCAAGGGGGAAAAAACAAAGGTAAAGCAAACCAAAAAGCAACTAAAAAATCCAAGTTTAGCATCTACGGAAAGACAGTATGGAGATACAGACAATATCAAGTGAACCACCCCATAAACCCAATCAAACACAAAAAAAAATCCAGAATAAGAAACACCAACTTGAAATATGAAGTGTTTTGCATGGCGAGGGCTGCTACCTGTAAGGAAGCAGCATATCAGATGGACCACTTAGATCACTTAATCCCCAACAACCACAAAACCTATACAGTAGCTGTTTGTAGAATTGTTGTGACATGTACGTACGCATGTAATCATTCCTTTTTCAAGCCTTCCTCCATCCCCAGAGTCAGGTACTTAGACCTTGCCCTCTATAATTAAGCGCTAAGTAGCCTAGACACCAATTTACGACTTGCGAATAGCCTCACGCTGTTTCACCAAAACAAGATATCCCCACTCGTACGTGAACCCGAGTATAAGCAAAACCTACGGAAAAACTAATAAACCTACAACCAAGACAAATCATCAATGAAAGGGGACTTATCCCATTTATATCTTACAATATCACAAGATTCCCCGTCGAAACCCCTCTCTCGGAACAGACTCTCCAGATGTGACTTGAGGAGATATCGACATCTCAATTTCACGAGGGAAGAAGATAGCCCAGAAGAAATTTGTCCTGTAACCATCACATCACAACAGACACAAAAGACGGCGTCCGAGGGGGGAGGAAAAGGTAACCTGCATCACAAACCAAACCAAACTCCAATCCAATCCAATCACAAACACTCACCTATAAAGACCCCAGGTTACACCTCAGAACTCAGAGAAAATGAAATGAGCGACGTCCAATTTATACACAAGATAAGCTAAAACCTATCCCTCACATCACACAAAATCCGACGCGCAAATCCGGCACGGAAACTCCAGATGATGCCGGTCCCCAAAAAGTAAATGCTTTCTCTGATCCGAGGGAAAAAGACCTATGCACTACTATCCCAAGGTAGCGCAAATGTCCCCACCCATTCCTCAACCTCACTCCTCAACTGCACAATCTCCGTCTCGTTTTGTCCATCGCCCAGATACTCCAAGAAAGCCTTCACGCTCCCCGGTGCCTTGCGTCCCTTTGCCTCCGCGGCCTCTTTAGCCGTCTTCGACAAACGCTGAGTAATGGTGACTGCTCTATTAACCACATCCGCAACTCTGACGAAATCATCAGGTTGGAACCCTCTCGTGGTCATGGCCGGAGTGCCCATTCTCAATCCACCAGGTTTCAAGGCAGATTTGTCACCTGGGACGGTATTCTTGTTACTTGCAACACCTACCAATTCCAGGACTCGTTCAACTCGTGCACCATCGACACCTTGTGGCTTGAGGTCAATCAGGACAAGGTGGTTGTCAGTTCCCCCAGATACAATGGAGTATCCAAGTCCACCAGCATCCTTAGATTCGCCCAAACGCTTGGCAAAGGCTTTGGCATTTGCAAGGACAGATGCTTGGTAGGCACCAAATTCTGTGCTTTGTGCCTGCTTCAAAGCGACTGCCAGAGCGGTAATGGTATGGTTATGAGGTCCACCTTGATGTCCTGGGAAGACTGAGGCATTGATAGGTTCCTCAAGATTCCACATTTCCTTCTCCCCGGTCTTTGCGTTGACTCTCCGCACGCCCTTTCGGAAGAAAATCATAGCACCTCTTGGACCCCGCAAACTTTTGTGGGTTGTGGTAGTGACAACATCTGCGAATTCGAATGGTGTAGGAATAACCTTAGCAGCAACCAATCCAGAGATATGTGCCATATCTGCCAGTAAATAGGCGCCAACTTTATCAGCAATGTCCCGGAACTTCTTGTAGTCAAGCAATCTGCTATAGGCAGATGTACCAGCGATAATCAGCTTCGGTCTGTAGAGCATAGCATTCTCCCCCAACTTAACATAATCGATCAACCCAGTCGATTCATTCAAACGATATGGGAAGGTCTCGAAGTATTTCGAGATGGCAGAAATCTTCTTGGTGGGGGTTTGATATCCATGTGAAAGATGTCCACCATGAGGCAAATCCAAGCCCATGATTCGATCGTGGGTGTTAAGGAGGGCCGAGTACGCCATAAGGTTCGCAGGCGATCCGGACAAAGCTATGGAGCGGTCAATCAAAGTCGCCAAGTAGGAATTGAAAGAGACACATACGTTGAACATTGACACCCCATTCTGATTCCTTCAATCCAAAGGTTTGCAGAGCTCTCGATTGGCATAATCTTTCAGCCTCGTCGATGAATTCGTTTCCGCCATAGTATCTTGCTCCGGGATATCCCTCCGAGTATTTGTCTAACTAGCGGTCAGTTTGCTTTGACAGTTTTGATTTTTTTCTTCTGCTCGAAAAGCCTACTTTGCATAACACTTCCAAGGGAATCGAGGACAGCTTGGGATGTGAAATTTTCGGAGGGAATGAGGTTGATGAAGTGCTTCTGCCTTCGTTTTTCCTGGATGTCTTATCAGTTCATATCCAATGGCGGGGTATGGAGGAACGTACATTCTGTAGAATACTGTAGATGGCAGGATCGGCTTGCTCGAGGTTGGAGGTGAGAAGCTGCAATTGATCATTAGCAATGCCTATACAAACAATTGGAGTCTTCGTACTTTCTGTTGCGACTCTGCGGTCATGGAAGACACGCTCCGTCTTGCGCAACATAATGGAGCCAATCTTGTTCTTGAAGCTCCATGAGCAAACCTGGAAGCTCCCTTGAAGAGAGACATCGCAGAGTAAATATCCCGTCGACCGATTGTGGTGTCTTGTTGGTCAAACAAAGGGCGAGTTCCCTTGGGCGAGAATATTATTGCAAGACAAATGGACTAGCAACTCCCCGCCACTCAGAAACACCAGTCAGAGTCGTCCTCGGCATGGGGGGCACTAGCGCCGCGTACGAGTAGGTCGACAGCTTGATTGCCGCTTCGGGCCCGTACTCGTACCGATCCTGGTCTTCCTGATAAGAGTGAATCTCTTGAACGATAAGGAGAAGAAAAATGCATATAAAAAGCATGGACATTGTGAGAGCTTCTCTGAGAGTCAGAGTTCCAAGAAGCCAGTTACATTACGCGAATCATATAATGTTTATCAACAAATCCACCCTCGACTCTATACTAACCAAGAACTAACTTCAAGAGGCCACTGTACTGTACTGTACAACATGATGCCGATTCAAAAGTATAAACCATAGATACCTCAACTCTAAACATGAATCAAGTGTAAACCCTTTTTTTTGAAGTCTACAAATACCATACTAACATTAACCTCCCCCCCTTTCTCCTTTCCCCATACCTATAGGTACTCACTCTCCCTCGTCCCATCCCCATCGCCCCTTCCCCAACCACTAACTAAACCAGCTGGAGGCGCCCGCATACCACCGCTCCTCACGTGCCCGAGCACTAGTTACCTACCTAGGTATCCTATATAAACGCCCCCCTCCCCACACCCCTCTTCCCCAGCTCAACAACTACAACGGAAATGACGAGTTAGCCATACCAAGAAACAACCACAGCACTCGTGTAACAACGGGCGATGTTGACATGTCTCGGGCTCACAACCACCACCATTGAAGGGGACAATGTGAAAATGATCTGATCCGTCTTGTGGTTGTTCTCTTACCTACTTTCTTCTATGCCTTCGGTTTTTTGCGCTTTGGGGGGGCAGTGAGCGGAGGACTTGTGAGGGAGGGGTACTGTAGGTAGATAGATACGGCATGAGTTGATGTTCATTAATGGAAGGTGAGGAGTGTTATATTGATAAATGTAGGAACCATTTCCAAGTTCGCGTCTTGATGATGGTTCTGTTGGTCCCGTTTGTTGTGTTGAGGTCGCACTTGAAGTGACGTCGTCGATCTTCGGTGCAGAGACCGCGCACTCCGACCTTCTTAAAGGATATACAGAGGAATCGAGGAGCAGGATCATCGTAATGGTACTTTACACCACCGAGTCTGTGTTGTTCTCTGTGCTTTAGTTCAATCTTTGCTTGGGGTGTATCTGGACATTCCCCTGTCGGACATGTTTCCGGAAACTGGAGAATCCATCATGTGTGTGTGGGGAAAATTGGAGGAGGGGCTTTCGGCGTGATTCTAGCACTGTAACTGGGCTGTACTGAAGTAAGTAAGCTTCAATTGACGCGTTTCAGGTAACCGCTAGCACACTAATGCCATCATGGACCATTCGCCTCCCTTTGTATCGCCACCTGAAATCTGTTTTAGCAGTTGAACGAGGAAAAGAAATGGTATCTTAGAATTCATCCATGGGAATTTTGTACACTCCATAAACCCTCGAAAGAAAGCCTGATCACCATTTCTATACACATCATGTTTTGAAGAGGAATCATGATACCATTGACTGTGCAATAATGCAAGAAACGACCAGTAAAAGCAACCAGCCCAAATTTATGACCTTGCCAAACACTCCCAATGCTACCAACAAAACTGCGTATTTCTTTACTTTGTGTCGGTCTCTTCCGCATCACCGAACAACTCCTTGTGCTTAGCAGCAGCTCTCTCCAATTTTCGCTCACGGGCAGCCTTGACCTTAGCACGCTTGTCGTCCATCTGTTGTCTCTCAGTTCGGTCACGGGCGGCCTCAGCCTTGGCCTTGTGGATCTATTCCGGATGTCAGTATTTGCATAGCGAGTCCAATGCAAGTGGCAACGCAACGTACGTGCTCGACCAACGCTCTCTTGTGCTTGAAGGTATTACCCTTGCTCAGGTGGTAAAGTTCGTGGTACAGGTGTTTATCGATCTTGCCACTGGCACGGTACTTGGCTAAGAGACGGCGGAGAACACGAAGACGTCGCATCCAGACGATCTGGCTATAGAATTTATCAGACTTGGCCCCTCCAAAGAATCACCCCATCATCTCCTTCCATAGGTGCGTACCTTGGCATACGAGCGTCTGCTGTACCCTTTCTCTTACCGAAACCACGGTGTCTACCAATCTTTCGTGCTGCTGTGAGTTCGCGGGCTCGGGATCGGGAGTGCATGGTGACTGGCTTGCGGATGATGAGTCCATCAGCTACGAGCTTTCGGATGGTTTGGCGCGAGTTGGCATTGGAGATTTCGCTGGTCTCATTGGGATCGAGCCAAATCTTGCGCTTTCCACATCCTACAACGGATGCCGCAAGGCGCTTTTGGGTGGTTAAGTTGACCCTATCGTGAGAAATTTATGTTAGCGGACGGTTTGTGGCGATTTCGGGAGGGGAGATCAAATCTCGATAACTCGTCTGCCAATGAGCCCCGAATCGAATTGAGCGTCGCAATTTGTGGCAGCATCGAGATGGGGATTCCAGGAGGGTATTTTCTGCTTACATCTTGACTGCTTCCGGGGTGGTCGTCGATGGTGATGTCGTTGGTTGTCGATAGTTCCAAACCTCAATCAATCTAGGTGGAGGAGTCCAAGGTTATCGTGTTTGGCGCTAAATCATGTGATCTGTCAAAATTTGGAATTTTCAGTGCGGGACGACAGGGCTTGCTTCGCTAAATGCCCTACTGGAGTGCTGCGTACCGAGATTGGCCCGAAATCAAAGCGGCAACCAAATAGCTTCCTTGCTGTCCCAACTTCCCGGTGAACTTCCCAGCGATTACTCCTGGATTCCGAGTAATTCAAATGGTCGCTTGAAACGTTTTAATTATAATTCACACAATTCCATGTAGTTCAAATGACGACGTGAGAATATCTAGGGATATTAAATAACGAGAACAGTCGGGATAAACCAAGCCTTCGCTAATCATGATGAACAACCTACAGGCAAATCGCTCGTCCAATAAATGGTAGTCCAAAGAGTGCATCTGAAAAAAACAGGCTCATCTATTAACCTACCTAACTACTGTACTTTTGTCTCAAGAAAATCCCCTGAGATGTGAAAATGGAATAAGAACTCCCACTCATGCTACCTCAACACACTCGCGATACTCATGCTATCATTTACTCATCAAAAACCCCGTCACCAAGGTCAACCTTCCCAATACTCTGGATCTCCCGTTCATCATCTAGCTCATCATTGGAGAGCCCCAATCCACCTTGACCACCCTCGGCTTCTCTCCTCTCTCGTGCAGTGTTACCGAGTCTCAATGCAACTCGCTTAAAGTAATCCTGCATGCTCCTCTTTTGGTTTGCTGCAAGGTTCTGAGTTGAGATGTACTTGTCAAAGACTTTACTTTCTTCATCTACCACGTTGAACAGAGCCATGAAGGCTGCCTCTGCGGCAAGCTTGATTGGAATGACGGGGTCTCTGACACTTGCAAAGACTGGCAGTGCCAATAACGGAAGGTGCGGTCGAACAAGCTCCATGTGATGGCGACAAGCAGTGCGGATAATAACGAGAGCAAGTCTTCGAGTATCAACTGAATTGCCAGGTTGAATGAGACCTGCTAGCGCTTCAAAGATGGGCTTCAAGGTCTCAAACTCGCTGCTTCGACTTTCAGAGAGCAGGTATTTCCCTGCCGCCAGAACACAATTATCTGATATGAAGTTCTAGATCTATGTTAGCGATATGAAACGCGCAGGGACGATTAACTTACGTTTTTGCTTAACATGCCCTGACAGATGACTTTGGGCAAGTCTTCAGCAAAGGCACTTTCAGTCAGCGACGAAGCCGACTCATAAAGGACGGCATTCAAGGCTAGCACCGATGCCTGACTGAAGTGCGTTGTCATAACCCGATTCTTGATCAGACCAGCGGCATTCTCAGATGGTACGTTCTTAATCAAGGCTCCCAATAATTTGGCGTTCGTAATAGCCATAGAAACATCACTATCTTCCACATCCGTATCTATCAATCCAAGAACAGCATTTCTTGACGCCTCGCCCATATTAGCACCTGCCTTGCTGATGACTTCATACAGTGCCTTCAACATTGCAGTTCGGACACCAGCATCAGATGTTCTTGAACCTGTGACAAGTTCTGCAATAAGAGGATCAATACGAGGTGTCAAGGTGATCAATGTTCCCAAAGCCTTTGCGGCTCTACTTCTCAGAACCTCGCTTGAAGTATCAGCGAGGGATTTGGCAAAAGTTCGCTGGAGTTGAGGAAGGAAGGGCTTCAATAGGGTTGGAATCTTCTCGAGTAAGTTGTTCAAAGTCAACAAAATAGCGGCCTTGACTTCTACTGATCTTTCGGAGACAACTCGAATAAGCGGACCGGTGATTTGAGTAACGAAAGGCTTAAGAGAGTCCCCACTTGTCCTATCAACAACATCTGATATGGCAAGGGCAGCTTGGGTTCGTTGTTCTGCAGTACCGTTCATCAAGCCTTGCAAGAAAATTGGCAAAATAGCATTTATTCCTTTGGGAAGGCCAAATCCTGGCAGGTGTGCCCCTGCGATCCCAACCTGCTGCAAAGTTTGGCGCGTTGAGTATACAAGCGATTCCATCTCCTCCTTTTTAAGGTGTTTGGTAAACTCCGTCAAGGCCGTCCAGGCGGCCTTCACCACCTCCGGGTCCCGGTCGTCGAATGACATAAGAAGGGCTCTGATGATCTCTTGGTTATATCGGGAGTAGTCAACTGATGCTGCGGCGAAGAACTTGGCGAGATGATAATCGGTTGCAGCACGTCTTCGATGGTCTTCATGTTTGACAAGTGTTAGGAGAACATTCATAGCAGTGTTGAGCCCATCAAACTCATCGATAGAAAGAACAACAGTATCGAATGATGCATTGAGATCGGTCAGTAATTCTTCGTTCTTGCAAGATATGATGTTGTCCATAAGAGCGTTGAGAATAGCTGGTAATCTTCGGGTAATCGAGGAGCCGGCAACGGTGGAAAGAGAAGCAAGTGCTTTGGCATTGAATGCGGACATCGGGGGGGCGGTAAGGGTGGGTATGAGATTTGGAAGGATGATATTCGATCTTGTTGTCTCGGTGAGTAAGGTCAATAGTGCAGATAGGGCATTGTCCGCTTCGTCTTCTGTTCGAAGACGGTTCAAGAGATATGGCAAAACTTGGTCTACAGCTCTCTTGCCTAAGATTTGTTGCAAGGAGTCGAAAGCTTCTGCTGCCGCCTCGCGGACATCTTCATCGGAGTCAATAAGAGCAACTCTGACAACTGAGATAAGGGTCTTCTCGTGATCTTCTAGTGCATCCGGAGATGCTGAAGAAATGAGTTCTCGGAGTGCGATGCAGATACCTTGCTTGGCGTCCGTATCTGTGGATGTCTGCAAGCCTTCCTCCAAAGTTGGTAGCAATGTAGATAGTACGCCATCACCGGCCTTGCGAATAAGTTCTCCAAGAGCATTACCAGCAATAACCTTTTGCTCCATATTTGAGCTTCCCAGACGTCTGATAATGAGCTGCGTAAGGGTAGGAATAAGTTCCTTGAGAGTTCTGGGACTTGCAACCAATGCCTTCCAAACATTGACTGCAGCAGTGCGAACAAGGCCTGAAGTATCGCAGCGGCAGATGTATAACGACGAGAGTACTTTGTTTCTCTTTTCTTCTCCAAGTACTTCCAACAAAGAAGCTCCTGCTTCTTGCGCACCTTCCTCAACTTCGTCTTGTTCGGTGTTGGCAGATATTCCAGTAAGATTGAACAACAAATCGCCAACCAATTCCACTGAACTGAGACGGATTCTGTAGCTATCATCGGCGAGACCTCTCTCAAGCTCGGGAAGGAGCAAATCAATAGATTTCGTAGCGAAGTTCTTTACCAAAAGTCGACCAGCACGGAGCGAGGTATCACGAATTGATTCGACATCGTCTGCAAGACCTGCAAGAATTGGAGGAATGATTTTGCTGAGGTAGTTTGCAAAACTGTTTCCAAAGCAAACCGGTAAGAAAATGAAAAGCGACATGAACCCCTCTCGCACAGCCGCCTTGTTTGAGCTGACATTTTGCAAAATGGTTGGCAAGGTCTCCTCCAGACGACTGGTACCCAATCCTGCAAGTACCTCGCTGAGGGCTTGAGCGGATCCAAGTCTGTCCCCAGCACCTGTGTCTGACTTTAATGTCTGCATCAATCCCGGTATAAGATCTGGAAGAGCATCTTCTCCCAACTTCTCAATGAGAGAACCTAGTGCTTTTGAGGCAGTTGCACGTGTTGTAGGAACTGGGTCCACAATGGCAACTTTGAGACCGGCTACCAAAATAGGCAAATGCGAAACAAGATCTTTTCTCTCTGTCAAGTGCGCAAGACTTCCAATGACTTGAGCAGATTTTCGTTTCGTCGCTGATCTGTCACTCAGTCCACGCTCCAGAATGCGAGCGACCAGAGCAAGAGACGGTGCATCCAAATAATGGACGAAAGATACCTTGATCAGAGAGTCCAAAGCATTATCCGTATATTTCGTAGGATCGCTAAGTGCTTTGAGAAGTACATCCACGTGACTCTTGATTTCTGGGTTGTTGATAACTTCTCCGAAGCGCTTCAAACTTCGATTGGCTGCAAGTCGGACCTCCTTGTGACTATCATTGAGGACCCCTGTCAAAGGTGGAATAATTTCTGGCAAACTTGACGCAAGTTGTTGGGGGTCTAGGTACGCCATAGCTCCAAGAAGGTCGCATGCACCCTTTTTACTTCTCCACTGCTGATCGTCCAAACCATCTAACAGCGTTGGCAGGATTTTCTTGACACCGTATGAACTTAAGCTGGCAAAACATGCTTTAGCTGCAGCCAGACATCCGTCTCGAATATCAGCACTAGCATCGCCAAAGCTCGAAAGAAGTTGTGGCACGATTTGAATGACATAAGGTTCAAAGACCCGGCCCAAGATGGTTGGCAGGAGTTCGTATGCCAACAGAGCACCCTCTCTATGGTTGACATCCTTCTTATTCTCGATTGCTGCCTTCAGGGTCCTCATCACCTGAAATTCCCTCAAGGCAGAAATTCCTTTTCCATTAACGAGGCCAGCAAGTCCATAGGCAGCACCACGACGGGCTGCGTACTTTTTGGAGTTCAATAGTTTGTCTATAACATAGTGGAAATAGTCCGGGGTGCTTTCGCTTGAGGCGCGAACGAGGGGCGGCAAACATTCTGCAACGGCGTATTGTACGGCTTCTGATGGAGTGCTGAGTGTTTCCAAAAGCCGATTGACGACCTTCGGTATTCTGTCGTCCCCTGTGTTTAAGTGACGAGCCAGAGCACCATACATGATAATGACTGCCTCGTTGACCCGATCAGCAAATTCGGAGCCTTTATCTGGAGCTTCTAATGTCTGTTCAAAGGTCTTCATTAAAGCTTCAACTTTGTTCTTGCCATGGAGTGCGATAATTGTCGTAGCAGCCTCGACCATTTCTTCTCTTACATTTGGGTTTCGGTCTCCCAGCGGCCCCTCCTCAATGAGGAATCGTAGGAAATCATCTAGCAAATCATCTTCAAATACTGGTGCAAGTTCCTTGAATGCGATGGCTATACCATTCCTAGCCTCCCAAGGATCCGATAAGTCCATTTTCTTAGGCATGCCATATTCGTCGAGTTGGGGGACTCTAGGCTTTGCCAGTTCTTTATACGAAGCTCGTAGTCGGTCGAGCACATCTTGGAGAGTGGATGGATGCAGTTGTACGGCCTCCGCTATGGATCTTGCGGCAGCTCTACGAAGCTGTTTGTCGAGACTATTGAGATATGATAACATCCTAGTTGGCGATTCAGTGGATATCTCAAACCCGCTCTCTTCCCAAATTTCCCGACCAAGCTCTACATTTTCATCAACGTCGTCATGACATGCAAGCCAAATTTCTTCGGAAAAGTCGAGATCGCTCATGTCAATCTCTGCACTAATAGATTGCAAAACTGCTGTTCTGACCGCGATCTGAGGTACGATGGCACCCTGAGCAAGAATTGAAATCTCTGGATCGGTTATATTAGGCGCAATACAACGAGAGAGATCGGCCAAACAGTCCTTAATGATTTTGTAATGCTGGTTGTACGCCTGCATTGAAGATATCAAGATTGTCAAGACTTCATCGCGTGGCACCAAACTATCAGAGCAAGCATCAGTATGGAACGTTAAGAACTCCAGGGCAAGAACAATTTGAGCTTCAGCGTCATCGGTGTCTCCGAACCCTCTTTCACGTAGCACGAGGAAAACAAGCGGTAGTATATACGTCAAAGAAACCGTATCGAATGGGCGTTGTTCTCCGGAAAATCTGAGGCGATAAAGCACACGTGTAATCAGGGGTCCAAGAGGTTCTTGTATGAGCTGCTCGTCCAAATGTGGGACATTCAGAGCTCTCAAAGTGGCTATTCCAATGAACGGACGAAGTGCCCCAATACGGCTTGCAAGAGTTTGCGAACAAGATATGTACGCATCGGGGGCAGCATTCCCGACAAGAAGTCCGGCACCCGCATTAATAACATCAACTAGAGCTTTTACAGCAGGTCCGATCCATAATTGCGCTCCTGTAGGAGGTCCTGTCGCAAGACTGTGGATTATACCAATTCCACGCAGGAGTCTCGCTGCAACATATCGAAGATTAAGTCGGATTTCTGATTCCTTCTGTAACTGGGCCTTGACTTTGGCCGATTCTTCGGGCGTCAGTTTCTTCTGTTGTCCTTTCTTCTGCGCGAGTTGAGCTCTCAAATCTTCCTCCCACTTTAGCGTATCGTAATCCTTGGTGTTCTTGTTTGGAACATAACTTTGAGATTTCGATGCTAAAACATCAACGAAGGGCGTGCCTTCTTCGGTTCGGAAGATAGCTGCTTCTGTAGGTCCAACGCCTGCCAGTTGAGCAGTATCAAGATCGTTCTGAACAAGATCAACGATCTGTGAAGTCATGACGTCTGGAGCAACAAAAGCCAGCTCTGCAGCAGCGTTAAACGCGGCCTGTTTGACAACTTCGGAGTGCTGAAGCGCCAGCTTTTTATGAAGTTAGTCAATGGAAATCGTCCTCGCGGTCCAGTAAACTTACATTCTCAGTAAAGCCAGTGAAATGAAGAATTTGCTTCATTAATTCATCACCAGACTCCCGCGCAAGCTTACCGGGGTCGACCCCTACTCTTAGACACAGGTCAATCCAGTTCATTCGAGGTAGCAACTGCGGTCGACAGAGAACTAATAGCGAGATCATCTGGTCCTGGCGAGTAGGTTGATCTACTGAGCCACCGAATTGGGCAGTACCTGCTGGTGGTAAACAGATGGATTTTACGACGAGGCGCAAACATTGTGATTCTGTTTTGGCGACAGATGCTGCACAGTCTTTTTCTCCGATTTCGACGCATTGTCGCCAATGCCAGAGTCCAGCAACGATAGCCGCCGAAATTTGTTTAGGCTTCTGAACATAGATCTCGGACAATGCATCAGAGGCATTTTTCCTAAATTCAGGTTGCACAGTAGACGAACAAATACAAAATATCATGGCTTGTGCCCAAGCAACGACATTCGTTGAGTCTGACTCTAAAATCGAAATGTCTGCCGCTAGAGATGACAGCGCCCTAATGAACCATTTCAAGTCATCATTGCTCGAGAGTTTACCAAAAATGCGGTGATTCAGTAGAAATGATGATTTGGGTTGCATTACTAGCGCTTGATGTGCAACCTGTGCTTTTTTCAATGCTGCATCGACTTTGCTACTTGATGTGGCCCCGAGCTTTGAACCTGATATGGCTGTGAAAACGTAGGCAGCCGTCACAAGACCAGATTGAGCCGCTGCAATAGGATTGCTGATAGTCTCCTGCCATATTTCCATGAGAGCTGGTATTGCTCCCTCTGCCAGGCCGGAGAATGCAGAGCTCAATGTTTCATGATTTTTGACATTCCAGAATAGCTCCCCTAGACGAATCGCCCAAAGCTTTTTGATAGGCACTTTCTTGTCAGAAATGCCTTTTACGAAAGCATCAATAGCGGGCCGTGGAACCTCCAGACTATTTGAGAGACCCCACTGGAGGTAATGAAGAAAAGTTGAGGTTTGTGCGCTGAGCGCTGCCTCATTGGCCTCCTTCCCAGAGCAAACGGCTAGAGCAGGAGTTACCAATGTCGCGGTGATTTGGGAAATAGGGAGAGCAGTCAGCATATCTGCGTGGCTAGCTCTTTGGTCTGCTGTAGCTAGCTTCCCAGTTTTCAATGGAGTGAGTATCTCCTCTGCGACTTTTTTGATGACGTCTGCATCGTTGCATTTCAAAACAACAGCTTTGAATGTTGAGAGAGCACCATGACGTATTGAAGCGTTACTGGACTTGATATTTGAAAGAATTGGTTTGAGTAGCTTGGCGTGAAGGATAGTAGAGAGGTCTATTGACTCAGGAAGAGGGTAGAAGAAACGCTCAATCAGACCATTCAGAACAATTTCAGGAGCTCTGAGGAGGGCTTTCTCAAAGGGTGGAATAATCTCCTTTTCAATGTCTTCCTTGGTCGTGAATTCGGCAAAGAAGTCCTTCAGTCCATCGGCCACGTGAGGGGCAACTGGTGTCCGCGATCCCACAATCTCTCTATTGTAAAAAGCATATATCTCTGATCTTTGGACTGAGAATATCTCCTTGGCATCTGGTATTCTCGCGCAAACACCAGCTACCACTCCAAGCATGACACAATTTCTAGTAGAAGGGTTGGGCCCCTTGGAAGAAAGCTTCCGTACCACATCCCCCATGGTTTTTTCTCTCGTCTTCTCCTTGGAAAACACCGTCCGTAACCCGCGCCGAGTGACTACCAGTGCAGAGCTTTTAACATTGGTACGTGAAGACTCGCCAAGACACAAATCTAGAGCTTGGGCATTGCTGATAATTGTGTCTAGTCCCCATTTCTCCCAATGGACAGTATCTGGTATAGTTTGTAGCAATATGCTGCACCACTCAACGAGGACAAAAGCATCCGAGGGTGCGATTTTGACCTTTGCAGTTTCGGTCTGCACAAGCTTGACAAAATCCGCAAGAGCCTCTGGAGCAGCGCCGGAGCTGAAAATGATCCTTATACAACGTTGAACGGCGCGACGCGAAATTCGATCGTTGTAGTAGGAATATGTGCGGAAGAAGAGTCGGAGGAGTGGAGGGAAGAGGGCTTGGGTTATTTCTATCACGAAAGTGTTGTTAGCATAAGATTCAAGGAGAGGAAAGTGTCAAATAGCAACTTACCATTATTTGACAGTCTCTCTTCCAGGATATGGAGGGTTGCGAGTCGGGCGGTTGTGGAAGAAGAATGCAACGCGGTTCTAGTTGCGGCAAGATCAAGCTCCACCACGGCCATACCATTAACCTCCACCTCAGTCATTTTGTAATATTCGCACGCTTGTCATCGCCCGGGGACTCTTGGATCGTCTGGCGTTGTAATAGTGTTGGTGGCGGGGTGTATTTTAGGCACTCCAATCCATGGCATACGTGAATCTCGTGAGGAAAAAGTTCGGCGAGTTTTTGAGGTTGGCCGACAGCCACTACAGCATTTCAAGACCGCAAACACCAGCACTTTTCTGACAGAGCTTCCTTGCACCACTTGGAAGCTGCACGCGATTCCAAAGAATCCCTCTGAAGATGGCTGGGGGGAAGAAAAAGAAGAAACCCGCGGCCAATCCGGCCAGAAGCGTTGCTACAACCTCAATTGCCTCCAAGTCCAAAATTGATGTTCCAGAGACCCCTCCAAAGGAAGCCGATCCCGTCATCGACGAGCTTCAGCAGAACGGCGCAACAACGTCCACGGCTGCGGGCACAGGCACTGGGGCTTCCGGACTGCCACAGAAAGATTTGAGTTCGGAAGAGTTTGAACGTCAACTTGAGACGGCAGAGCTACAGAGTTTAGTCGAGAAACACGCACAGAAGTCTAAGAGAGATGCTGCTCGTCAGAAAACTAGGCTAGAAACCGACCGGCGAGTGCTACGAGGTCAAGCAGAAAGCCTGAATACGAGAAAATGGCTTCCACCGGAGCTCATGGAAGAAATCCTGGATCTGGTCCTCGCAGAAGGCCGATTTACAGGAATGGCATCAGAATTATCTGGCAGTGTCAAGCCTCCTTCAGAAGAAGAGCTGACAATCAGACTTTGGACGTTGCAACAAGCCCTCACCGGCGCTGGGTTGGTGGAGGACAAGGTTACTTTGGCTCTCAAGTTTGTGCTTGATATATCAGACAAGATAGGCGTGTCAAACAAAGATGCAATCTGGGGATTGGAAGAGGCCTTGGACTGGCTAGCTCGTGCCTGCTTGAGAGAAGAACTCCCGGATTATGAGAATTGGCAGAGAAGGCCAGCCGCAGTGCTTCTAAAGTCACAGCCAGGTCGGTTCTCCCCAAAAATTGTCGTAATGCCGTATTCAGCATGCTAACCAATTTGGTACATTAGCAACACCACTTGAGAGTCCACTGCCGTCTGGTGCTACCACCCCGCGTCTCGAGTCTGAAACTAGACATATGGGACATGTTACATCAAATACAGGCGCCTCTCAAGCAGACAAAAAACGCACGCCGGCTAAGAAGGCTGCTATTGTAGACTACGACAGTGATATTGACCCTGACGATCTTCTTCCAGTTTATTTAGAATGCAAGACCATATTATTTCAGTCGCAGCAAACGAAGTCAAAGAGACCAGCCGTACGGCCAAGTGGCCGTGGTATTTCCCAAGAGGCACAGCTTTCAAATGACCCAGAAGCGACAAAGGCATTGAGAAAAATCAAGAAGATTCAAGACGACATTCTTTTCGATCAGTATGTTGCCAACCAGCAGTGGGAGTTGAAGCGAATACAGCTTGAAAAGGAAGCCGCAGATCGTCGGATCGAAGAGCAGAAACAGGCGGAATTTACTGCGTCCATAGAGTCCGAAACTGTGGTCGACTCGGACAACGAAGTCAGCAAGGAAGCCGCCAAAATTGGAGCTGCCTTACTTGAAGATAATGGCAGTGATGATGATGCTGCTCTTGCAGACCTTTTTGCAAGCTTGCCTGTCAACGAAGTTGACCCTATAACCGGAAAGAGCACTACAGTGGTCAATAACAACGACGGTACTAAGGTTACCATTAGGGATTTTGGAAAATGGACGGGAGTCAACCCAACAAGAGTTTTGGAAGAAGCTTGCCGAGCTAGGTATGTCTTGTCGGCTTCAGTACTCCCTTTCTGTAACTAACACAATCGAGGGACTCGTCCGCGAGGTTGAGTTTCAATTTAGTGTCGACCTCAAACTTCGCTAATCGACATGCTCTTCGAATCACCTGGTCAAAAGCTCAAGATTTCACTGTGCTTACTTTACCTCCTCACATTGAGTATAATCCCCTGCCAAAATCTCAAACATTTACCATGATAGCCATTTCGACACCAGACCCCAAACAGTCCGAAGCATATATTGCTACAGTTGCTTTGTTTGTGATCTTTGGATCGTCTTCTAAAGAAGATAAAGTAGCACTTAGGCTCCCAGCTTCCTGGCGGGATTTGTGGACTGAATTCGCAAATGAGAAGAAGGAGAAAGCGGATGAAATCGACCGAGATAGTATTCGCGCCCTCCGTGACATGGTACGAGAGAAGAAGGACCAAGAACTCGAAGATGGGGTTCTTATCAAGGGAGCCTTCAAGGGTCGTGGTCCGTCTCGCACTCTTGAAAACGGTGGAGATCCCGCAGCAGATAACCCCCGATCCTCGCTAACGCCAGAGGCCTACCAAAGGATTTGGTACGAAAAGTCAAGCACGCCGAGCTATCAATACATGCTAGTAAGTTATTCAAAATGCGCACATACATTGCTGTTGACACATCATAGCAATCACGAACACATCTTCCAATGTGGGGGTTCAAAGAAAAGGTTCTTTCCACGATCGACAACCAGCAAGTAGTGATCATTTGTGGAGAAACTGGTTGGTAAGTTTTGTCATAAAGTGTTCCGTTTTCTCAACTTATTTTCGATTAGTGGCAAGAGTACACAAGTTCCTGCTTTCATTCTAGAGCATCAACTTTCCCAAGGAAAGCCTTGCAAGATTTATTGCACAGAGCCGCGACGTATATCTGCTATCTCTCTCGCTAGACGTGTCAGTGAGGAGCTTGGGGAGCGCAAAAATGACCTTGGAACATCTCGTTCCCTGATAGGTTATGCAATCCGACTCGAATCAAATACTTCAAAAGAAACGAGACTCGTTTATGCCACGACTGGTATCGTAATGCGAATGCTTGAGGGGTCGAATGATCTCAAAGACATTACACATATTGTTTTGGATGAAGTCCATGAACGTACGATAGATAGCGATTTTCTGCTGATCGTTCTTAAGAAACTTATGGTTCGAAGACGTGATCTTAAAGTGGTCCTCATGTCGGCTACTGTTGATGCCGAGCGTTTTTCGAAGTACCTGGATGGCGCCCCAGTCTTGAACGTGCCAGGCAGAACCTTTCCGGTACAGGTGCAATACCTTGAAGATGCCATAGAGTTGACAGGTTATACTATTGACAACGGACAAAAGGAGAAACTCACTGATCTTGACGACGAGATTGATGTTGGTGAGGCGGCAGTCAGCGATGCTGCAAAGGTTGAAAATACCAAGGTACTTCGTGGCTATAGTGGTAAAACCCGGAATACCATTGCTTTGATCGATGAATATCGTATCGATTTTGACTTGGTGACCCAACTCCTGGCAAGAATCGCCACAGATAGTCGTTTTGACATGTACAGCAAGGCGATTTTGGTTTTCTTACCAGGTATTGGAGAAATCAGGCAACTCAATGACATGCTTGTCGGACATCCCGTATTTGCCGCCAATTGGGAAGTCTACCCTCTGCACTCCACTATCGCAAGTGAAGATCAGGAAGCGGCATTTCTGGTTCCACCTCAAGGCACAAGGAAGATCGTACTTGCCACGAACATCGCTGAGACTGGTATTACGATTCCTGATGTTACCTGTGTGATTGATACAGGGAAGCACAGAGAAATGAGGTAAGTGAAACGTAATTTGACTTGAAGAAATTGGGTGCTGATGCTATAGTAGATTCGACGAACGAAGACAGCTTTCTCGACTCCTTGAAACATTCATCAGTAAAGCCAATGCCAAACAACGACGAGGTAGAGCTGGACGAGTCCAGGATGGCCTCTGTTTTCACTTGTTCACAAAATATCGGCATGACGAGCTCGTGAGTCATCGCCCTGCAATCAATTTAACCATACTCATTATTTCTAGATGGCAGACCAGCAGACGCCTGAGCTTCTTCGATTATCTCTCCAGGATCTTGCCATTCGTGTTAAAATCTGTAAGCTTGGTGGTATTGAAGAGACCCTCAGTGAAGCTTTGGATCCCCCACTGCCAAAAAATATTCGTCGCGCTGTTGATGCGTTGATAGATGTCAGAGCTCTCACTCCTGGAGAAGATTTGACACCCTTGGGCTTCCAACTGGCAAGACTTCCGCTTGATGTATTCTTGGGTAAACTCATCCTCCTTGGTAGCATATTTAGGTGCTTAGATGCAGTCATTACCGTTGCTGCAATTCTATCATCTAAATCCCCATTTGTTGCTCCTTTCGGAGCTCGCAATCAAGCCGATACTATCAAACAATCATATCGTCGAGGTATGAAGATCCCTCTGCAGTGGGTTTATGTTGACTAAAAGCTAACATTCTCGCAGGGGACTCGGATCTTCTCACTGTTTATAATGCCTATCTAGCCTGGAAGCGAGTTTGTCTTGGTAACGGTTCGGAGTATCAGTTTTGTAAAAAGAACTTTCTCAGTCAACAAACACTTGGAAATATCGAAGATCTGAAGGGGCAACTCGTGGTTTGCTTAGTAGACTCTGGGTTTTTGCCTCTCACTGAGGCTGAAAAAGCCAACTTGAATAGGTAAGTAGCCTAGTATCTTTCTCTGCTCTTCTATTCTCTAACAAATGTAGAACGCGGTATAACACTCGGCGCCGCCAATTTTTTGAAATCCCTCAGCGAGCAAATGTGAACAGCGACAACGATATTATTACCACATCTGTTATCGGGTGGAGCTTCTACCCTAAATTGCTCATCCGTGATGGAAAAGGTTTCCGTAACGTCGCCAACAATCAAACCATTAGCCTCCATCCATCTTCTGTCAACAAAGGTCGCCACGAATTGAAGTGGCTCTCTTATTACCATATCATGCAAGCCAAGCAGTACGTATCCAAAAGGAGATATTGATTCATGTTACTGATCACTGGAACATAGGTTTTATAATGCCCACGAAACAACTTCCATCGAGGAATTCTCAATTGCCCTCCTCTGTGGTGAAGTTCGATGCGACGTAGGTCTCATATCTCATCACTTTCAACACAATGATATTGATGTGCTAATTCTTTACCTTCCAACAGATGTATGCGGGAGTTTTCATTCTTGATGGAAACCGTGCCCGCTTCGCCGTCTCCGACTGGAAGACAATGCTAGTCATAAAAACTCTCAGAGCCAAACTTCGCGACATCATGACCAAGTCTTTCAAAAATCCTGGAAAACCACTCACTGGACAACAGCAACGGTGGATGGAAGTATGGCAGAAGATTTACACTTTGAAGAAGGAAGGGGAGGTACCGAGAGAGTGATTTGGGGTCGGCTGCGTGCTTGGATTGATAATGCATTACACGGGAAACTCATTTAGAGCATTCGAATTGCTGATGATTTGGTGGAATGGCGTTTGCTTTGTGTTTTGTCCTGGCATTGCTTTTTGGGCGGACGAAGTTATCGATGCATAGATGGCGGGCAAGCCAGATAGACAGCGAAATGACCAGTAACTAGATAATTTCTATTTTGGTCTTTTAGCGTGTTTTTCTATTTCTAGGGAGCGCTGGCTTGCTAATACTGTAATAACAAATTCTAACTGGCATTTTTCTTTGCCTTAACGTTGTAAACTTCGAGGTTACTATAGCCCCTTACAAGAGTAGATATAACTGTCTCGTTCGTTTGTTGACTGCTAGTTTTAACATCGCAGTTAAGCGAATCCTTGAATAAGTAATCAAACGGGATTATGATTGTTCTAGATGTAGGCTAGTTTAACGAGCCCATTTATCCCCTAGTGAATATAGATTTAGCAAAAGCCTATTACCCCTTACTATATCTTCGCAAATATAGTTAAGTTATTATAGTAAATTCTGGCAAATACTTCTTGAGTATATATACTTATAGAGAGACTACCTAGCTATCCTCACGCTAATGTTAAGTAATATTACGCTAAAGTTATTAAAGTTTCTCTTGGAAATACTACCTCGTTTACTAACAAAGATACCCTCTTTTGTAAGTAGGAATCCCTCATTTGTAGCTTGATTGCAAGGAATAGTAGTTAGAGAATGTTCTAGTTATAGTAATTAATATAGAGAGTATCTCGAGATTTTACACAGAGTTTAAGGGCCTCTTAGTCGATTGCCGAAATGAATAAATGAATAATCTGGTTAGTCCAGTATACTCGGATAATACTTGGTTTCATTATTCTAAGAGTCAAATTACATTACTTTCGATTAATCTCGCAAAGAGAAGTATAAATGAAAAGGATTGATGTCGCCTTTTTTGTCTACTTTGGGAATAGCAGGGGAATTCAGTGAGCTCATTTGATCGGAGTAAACCCAAGCTGAGTAGTCACAAGGAAATTACGTACGATCTCGCAATGTATACGGGAGTCTCGAATACATTATATTGTTCTTCTTGTGTCGAGTCTATATGGAAAGTGACGTTTTCTGGATTCCAAATAGGGCTGTTAAATCAGATAATAATTTAAGTAAATTATCTATAATTATTAACATACGAGTGACTTACACACAACCTTTTTCGTAGATTGAAAATTTTGTTCTAAAACGCTCAATCTCTCTTACTCTCGTTTGACAAGCTAAAATTCCCTCCATGGAGACTCCTCCAGGGAAACCTCCGATTTCGCCCACGCCCGTTGGAAGGGGCCTGAAAAAGGGGGGAGTACGCCCGATGCCCCCACTACCCAATATACAGCAGCACTTCGTTTCTGGAACCACCAAAGCTCTAGAACGTGGTGCTATAGGCCAAATCTTCTTTGGAGGTACCGCGGAAGCCGTTGACCACCACCTAAACACTGCTCTTGATAGGGCTCCCCCGGAACTCTTGCCCTACCTCAGGGCCTTTTGCACTCAGGTGGCCGACCTTAGCTTAGCTTTCCACCGAACATACACCTCAGGGACCCCGCCTCCACTAC